CAAACTTTTCAATGGTTCTCTTGTCGATACCACCACACTTGAAAATCAAGTGACCGGTGGTGGTGGACTTACCAGAATCGACGTGACCAATGACGACAACGTTAATGTGAGTCTTTTCCTTACCCATGATGTTACTATTTACTGATTGGACAGATGATGTAAAGAAGAAGAAAAAGAAGAGAACTAAAAATTATCTTTCGCTAGAAAAAGTAGGGGGGGTTGTGAAATAAATACCAGACGAAAAAATTTTCGCTCTGCGTTCGTCCAAAGGATTTCAGCCAGCAGAACAATCAAAGTGAAAAAAACTTCAGTGTCGGGAGTTCCGACACCTTATGTCGCGATTTTCCATTTTGCAAGGGTGTTGGTGAAATTATTTAGTACGTATTGTAATCGCGACATTCTTTATCAAAATACAGATATATTGCTATGCTGTGAAGTTCAGCTATTTAGCGTAACTTTTTGTTTACGGGTCAATGGAAACATAGAATATCAATTGGACCGTTTCTATTCATGTTTGGGCTTTCAATTTTATTTACGGTTATAAGATGATGAGGGTTCCCTTCGTTCATGTTGTTGTAGTAAATTATAGTAGTCATTTCTGTCGTCCCGGTAATAAAGTGGAGAGTGACAATAAAATTGTCGGGTGATGGGCGGTGCACGACCTGTTGTTGGAGTAATAGGTAATGAATTGTCGGGGATGAGAGGCGTGCCTTCCTAACGTTTCATGTCGGAAATGGACTTACTGTATTTTGTGTCAGTCGGCATTGTGTCGTTGTTTTGAGTAGGAGATCTTTTCTTCCATAAGGTTCCCGCAGATGAAAACCTTGGATTCAGGTCTTTGTGTACAATGGATCGACTTTACTCATCTGAAGTCACGTCTAGTTTATATACACGTGATATAGTAGGGTTCAGACCTGTGATATAAGTAAGTATAGTTGATCCAAATGAGTTAATCCATGCGTCGTTCATATTCATTAAATACTTCTTAGAGAATTGCCTTATCTGTATTATGATCATTTTCTTATTAATATCACAGCATTATTATTTGTATGGACTTATTGGAAAAAAAGATTCAATCGACTAAAAGTCAGTCATTTTTTTGCACCCAATTCATATATTATTCACTAAACTATTGACTATACATAATCTTCTCTGCTATTTATAAGTATTATGAATATAATAATATTTAGAACTTGGGTATTTCCCCAAGAGTACACAGTATACTTCAAATAATATACTCGTTTCATCTTCGTCTTTTTCGTGATAACTTTCTAATTAACTGTTCACTGTGTTTCTCGGAATCAACAGAATCATATCCTACTTGAGTTATATTCTGACCATCATCATCTTCTCCATTTTCATGGTCCCTTTTTCTAGTATGCAGTTCGATATCAGACCCTTGACCTCCTCCACCATTAAGCGTCATTGTGACCCCCAGTTCATTCAATTTACCATACTTTATAATGCTATCATTTCCCCTTCTGGGTGACGCTAGCACGTTTAGCCCGGGTTCAGACCTAGTAGCATGTTCAGTGTCGGAAGTGTAAATAAACTTGGATTTCTTTGTTGGAGATAGTCTTGTGACTGGAGGAGAATACAAGCACCAATCCAATCTGGCTATATCTGGCATCACAAGAGTCTGCCTTTTCACTGACAACTCATTAGTGACTCCCTCCCATAGATATGCAATTGTAACAATCGGTATTGACCAATTCTTCGCTGCCTTAATTTTGGTACGACACGAAGTGGTGGTGATACTTGAGTTCTGATTGTATGGACACTCTAAGATCTCTCGGTGCTTGTAATGAAACAATTTCCCACTCACGTGTTTCCTAAACAAGTTGACGTTTACCACTAATATGTCTCTGGAAGAGTTTAGTGTGGGACAGAACTCGAACCCCATGTACTCAATGAGTTTCTCTAAATGCAATAGTTCAATCCCAGTAAATCCACTTACACATACTTTCAAAGGAGACTCGGTCTTATATAAACCCTTGATAGGCATTGACCATCTGTCGTGACATATTCGCTTATAGTATATGGATCTTTCAAGAAACCACTCTGTGACAACTCGAATATGACCCTCTTTGATACGTGATCTTAGCTCCAAGGGTAGGAGATCAAGCATCTTCGAGGCAGTAGACCCCAGCTTGCTGGGTAATATGACATGGGAAATAATGTCTACATCGTTCTCCATGTTGTTTGAGATTCGTCCTCCCAAGTTAACTATCGATTTCTTTATAAGCCGCTTTTGATCTTCATTGTAACCCACCAATACAAAGACAAAGGTATCGAATAAGCCCTGTAGATTATCGTTCGTATTCTCTGTGGACTTATCCTTTTGTTTATCAGCTTCCTTTCCTTCGTCTCGACTAATAATCTCGTCATATTGAAGACCATATTGGTCATCTTCGTCTTCGTCTTCGTCTGCCCAAGTATTGTCTCGAACTTTGGACTCAACCATCGTGTTCTTTCTAGCCATGATAGACTCCCATACAGAAGCATTCTTCTTTATCTTTTTGGATCCTATAACGGCTTTTAATTTACTATTCAGACCACGGTTCAGTTTTAAATCCGACTCTGGAGCCCCTTGAAACTCTCTAAGTCGCTCCCATTCATAGAAACCAAGGAATTTGGTTGCTCCCACAGTATAATCTTCAACTCTTAAAGGTTGTCCACGATAATACGAGTCTAAGAGCCATAGAGGATGAACAGCAGGGATTCCCCATTCCTTAGCTTTCGTATACCGTCGTCCAATCATGTCTGTAGTGATAATTATCAGATCCTTGAGGTTCAAGGAAGTGTTTGCTTCTCCTCCAGCTTGCTCTACCAACAGTACTAACTGTTCCTTATCAAAGAAAGCTTCTTTATCCAGATCAGACACTTTACCAACAGCAGAGAACGAGTTCGATGCAGCCAAATCAATCTTTGTCATATCTATATGTGCCAAACACATAGACATGCCTTCAAATGTCTTTAGAGTATAGTTACTCATTTGCAATTCTGTGAGTGGTTGACCTTCTATCCACTTACTATGCATTTGTCCTATGGAGTCACCCCTAAGAAACACCATATTGGCTCTATACTTGACACTGAAGTAGTACTTCTCGGTTTTACGGTTCCCCACAACCAAATAGTTCACTTCAGACATTAGATCATCATGTACTATTCCTCCCATAGATTGGATTTGCTTGAAGATCACCATCCTTTCCCGTCGTTCTATTCCCGTGCAGCAGAACTGCTTGCCCTGAAATGGGAGATCATCCGGCATGGCTGTTTATACCACTAGAATATCATCAACAAGGGTTTCGTGAAGCCGATGATGCTTACGTTCGTGTGCTTGGTTGATGCGCTTAAATGTGTGGATGATTTGAAGATAGCGAAATGCACAAAATAGGATATATAATGAACCAGATGATATTTAACTCGTGTATTACCGAGACAGAGGCTGATTACGACCAATGGAAACGTCACTTGCGCTGCATTTCCTCGTAAATTGTAAACAGTGCTATACCTGAGTTGTACGTCGTATATAGCCGAATGCTTTCAGAACGCGTCTCATATTCAATTGTATGGCTGCTGTAATTTCATATGCAACGGACTGAAGTGTTAGAGACTGACAGAGGTGAGCAATAAACCAAAGTACTCGAATTCCTTTTGATTATAGACCAGTAAACCTATTAATAGTGAAGGTGTTGGTCTAAAGTGGGCCAAGACAAAGTACTGGATGATGTACGTCTGTCTCTAAGATGCAAATATCCAGACACTGATCTACTCATACACTCTATAGATACAGGTCCAACTCTATAAAGCATTGTGTTTATAGTACTAGGAACATCCACATTAGTTTTCACATATAGAAAGAAAATTTACGAGTTCTATTTGAGCCAGTGTTATACGGCTGCACTTATACGAAGAGTTGCCTTTTCGTTCGCAGAGTTCGACAGCAGCAGATTTACTTTGGTATCATGCTCCTATAATGCTTTTGTGGGGGTACACATAAAGACTCACATATACATTAGTCAGCATGCAGGTACCAACTGAATTTCTTATAGAACACCAATGTTCTTGAATCCACCAAGTGAACGCTACGAGTGACTATTAGAACTACCTTCCAATGGCAATCACTCGTTCCAGGAATAAGGTTGCGGGTATCGCATTAACAGCTTCCTCGAAAGCCAAGGCCAAAGCCAATCCGATTGAGTCTAAGATCAAGATACATAGGAGTGTTGCCACCGCCGTTAAGTCGAAGACAGTCATTGCATCAAGTCTGATCACAGGCCAGAAGATATCCGGTGTGCGTGTGACTGTTCCAAAGACTGAAACCCCTGTAGTGCTACCTGAATCGTTTGTATCGAGTCACAAACCTACCTTCATTGCTGCCATCAACCATATTTTATCCGTTGACCCCACACTTATGGAAACTATCATTAGCACACCTTGGGGAAAATATGCCATTGACGAGACATCTGCTGATATCAATTCCCTTACAACTAGCGTGGATATTCCTTCGGACATCGGTGAATTGGATCCATTAGCGTATCTGTATTGGGAAGCGTTGGTTCGTACTATCATCTCCCAACAGGTTAGTGGGGCAGCAGCCAAATCAATCAGAGCCAAGCTATATGGCTATTTCGACAACGCTATCACCCCTCAAAAGGTTCTTCAAGCAGAACCGGAATCGCTAAGAGGGTGTGGACTATCTAATGCCAAAGTTAAATATGTTAGAGATGTTAGTGAGAAGTTCACAGACGTAGATTCGCCGTTACGTGACCCACAATGGTACAAGAAGGCACTGTTAGAAGAGATTGTAGAGGAATTGGTCAAGATAAAGGGTATAGGTATTTGGTCTGCTAAGATGTTTGCAGCTTTCAATCTTCATGAACCAGATGTTTTCGCTGAAGAAGATTTAGGCATAGCTAGAGGTATGAGTCGGTATGTTCAACTGAGAACAACCATTCTACAAGAAGCCAAAGATAATGTGGAGATAAAGAAGAAGAAGAAAATAGGATTAAGTGGCAATGGGAAAAAGAGAGATTGGGTTCCTCTTGATGAAGCATATATGAGATATATTGCAAAGAAATTCAGTCCTCATCAAACAGTTTTCCAATCCATATTGTGGAGATTATCGGACACTAACATTGAAGTATTGGAAGATAAAAAGGACGACATTGAACAGCCCAACCCAACCAAAAGAAGAAAACCATCAAAAGATTAACAACATCATTATCATTAGTAAGATGCTAGCAGCGACTTTGCTCAAACTTAAACAAGAAGCAACTGATTGGTGTATGTCTTCTTCTTCTCCACCGATTTTTATATTGATAGGTCTTTCATTTTGTCTGTTTCTCAACTTATTTAGTTCTTGTTCGATTTCTTTTAACCCGTAATCCAAAGTTGTTTCTTGCTTTAAGAATTGTAAGTCTGTCATAGTGAATCCCCCTTTTTCTATTAAGAATTGTATAAGCTTGTCAACTTTGAAACCCAAATCTCTTAATTTCTGTGGCGGTTGGACGCCTGATTCTGATTCTGAATCCGATTCATCAGTGGGAGTGGAGTACTTTTTGTAGGTTATATCCTTATGAAGGTGGTTATTGTCACTGTTAATCTTCTGGGTCCACTGTTTTAGGTCGTTAAGTTCGTAGTGCTTTATAGCCGACTTCATTTCTTGATTGGCTTTAGTTGTTTGAGCGGTAATGGCTGGACCTTCAAGGGCAAGAAACTCTTGGATCCAGGCCATCCCCAGTATTAGCTTTGTATCTGGTGTGACGCCTGTTTCTTTGAATTGGTCTGGTGGTGATAAGGCAGCGGCATGTATAAGCCCGGGAACGAACCACAACCAAAGAAGAAGTGGAACGACTACCATTTAGCAACGACGAACAACTAAGTAGTGGTAATAGGTAACTATGCTTTTACACTTTTAGATTTAACGATAGCCTAAAAAAGGAGTTAACGGTTACGGTTCAATTTTTGTAAACGTATGTTTCGCAGCCAATCAGTAAATGCTGCAAAACTAAACCAAAGGCCGTATAGAGAATATGGACTGTTTGAAGAAATTTAGGAACTATCATTGACATTGACCCGTGTACACCTACTTGAAGAGTATCTTTACCATATAACGGACAAGAGAAGGGTTTAAGACCGTTTGCATGTACATGTGCATTTAAGTAAATGTGATGTGAATATCAATGTGAATGTGACTTTTGAGTTTGAATGGGACTTTGAGCTAGGTGAATGGGAATATGCATAAACGTTGTTGCGTTATGGTTGAAAGGCAACGTCAAGCGTATTAACAGGCACAAAATCAACAGGGGTACGGCATTAAGGACCAGTAGTGAGCATACCAGAACCGGTTTCAGCATTGTGAATCCACTCATACATACATACATGCATATAGACTCGGCAGGATTGTTCGAAAAAAGAAGTAGCAGTGGTTAACGTAAGGGGCCTCTAAACCATTACCATCATTGTTGAAGCGGTACAGTCATAAAACCATTACCATCATTATCATCGCGAGACAGGCTGAGCAGAGTATATATACCTTAGCTCATCTCTAATTTTAAGTTAAGATTTCGAATAGTGATAAGCTCTGTGTCGGAGAAACAATAGCCGAGAATGCAGGTAACCAATGGTCTTGTTTTTGAGGAACACCCGAAAACAGTAAGCGATGTTCCCTATGGAGATATGGACTGTTAGTGGCACAGCAAGGTATAAAGGGTTAAGATTTTGAATGCCCGTTCCAGACAGGGACCAAGAATTTGAGTAACAAACTTGTACCATAGAGGGGAATAAGAATCAGTGTTATTGGCTTATATTTATGAGTCGGGATGGTAAAGTACTATTTATAGCTTTTTCAGAATATAGTAGTACACTACTTTAGAGTAAATCAGCCCTTCCCTGCATCTGTCATTAGAGGCAAAAGCAACACCCAAGCCTTCAACCAAAACTTCATCACGAAGGAGAACGGGATCGTAGTTATACAATAATCATACAACAGCCATAACTTGGATATACGCATAGAAACCATAATACGCGCATAGCCCTGTAATACGCATAGACATACGCATTATATAACACGCATAGAAATTATAACACACGCATAGCTATTGTTACCGATAGCATCCATATGAACCAATAGATTTTTACACTACTACTTTCTTTTACTGCCAACAGTTGTAACAACTGTATATATCACGTCGTCCTTCGCTTGCATTTGTTTCAGTACTTAGTCTCAAGTTTATTGTTGACACGGTAATTGCTGTTTGTGGTGTCCCGTTCTTTGTTTCACATTTCCGACGACGGCTACCCTTCACGTCAATACGGACGCAGGTTGCCAGGAAGTAGTGAAGTACCTGATCCAGATCCATATTGCATACGTGCCTTATCCCGCCTTTATTCTACTGTACCGTGTTTGGTACCTCTACCTTAGGGGTAGCATATTTTTTTTGTCGGGTTTATGTATTAGGGCAGGTGTAAAACTCCCTTAAACAACATCCAGGTCTGTCTTCTTTTTCCTATTTCATGTCTGACTTACACAACCGTTCTTACACGTCGATAGAGTCTTCGTGTTCAACGTCATCTTCTAGAAGGAACTCATTCCCCATCATCTCCCGTTCAGCATCTTCCCATACATTATCCACCGATTCCTTGCTTACAATATCTGACAAGTTCCAAAGGAAGTCTGTGAAAAAACAACATCAACAGCACGCGTCTTCAGCAACAGCAAAGTCATCATCGTTAGCATTACCTCTGTCATCGGATAGACAATCATCATCCAATCAAACCACCTTCTACTTCCCCAATGGTGAAGTATTTCGGTCACGTCCTTCTCATCTTAATAAAAAACACCAACATCGTTCCAATAGACCTCAACGAAGTTCAAGTCTGATTCCCAGGACGTATTCTATGCCCTCAATCGCCACACAGGTCCCGTTAACATCCCTGCAATCAAGGACCTTCAACAATATTAATATTAACACAAGTTTTCAAGGCAATACTACGGTTCCTACTATACCTGAGAACCCCTTATCTCCTCGAATCAGTAATAATAGTAACGGCTATTCGACACTTCATAGAAACAATTCGGTGACTTCTTTCACGTCTTTCACATCTTTGACTTCAAATAACACCACAATCTCAACAGCCACTGCTGCAACAGGTTCCACATCTAAAGCTCTTTTGAAGAAACAACTTCTAACCAGAGACTTGGAGAGAAATATTCGTAAATCTCTTTTGGATACTCCTACCAACTTACCAGTGGCTTCGGAACATCCTCAAGAGGAACAGGTTTCACTAGAACTGAGAGCCAACTCAATAACAAAATTGGGCCCTGCTGCTACAAATCATTTAAATCGCCGTAGACAAGGTGGTGGAATATCTGATTCTGACGATCATTTGGCTATGAAATCTTCAAGTTCGAAGTCTTCGAGTACCAAAACTTTAAGTACTCCTACTACAAGCATTAGTGAGGATATCCCAGATTCCGAAGACTCCAAGCCTCCGCCAACTATTCACATTCCGATTAATGTTGATACGGAAGATACAGTTCAAAGTTCAAGAGAAACGACCGGTATGATGAGCCATCCGGGAACAGATCTTAGTTCCATTTCTGAGGAAGAGAAATCATTACCTTTATGTGAATCTACTAAAATCCATGACAATGATGAAATGAATCGTCATTTATCGCTTAAAAAATCATCAACAACTCTGGAAGTTGCCAACCCTTCGCTACAACGTGAAAATAAAGTCACCCAAAGATCTTCATCCTCTTCAACATCTTCGGACAATTTTCTTCGAGATAGTGAAGTGGACTCCCCTTCTACATCTTGTTCTAATGCTTCTGTGGATGCCAATCTGCAAGGTTCAACAACCCTTCACATTAGTAGTCGCGTGAACAATTCTAGGGGTGGTGCTATGGGAACTCTGATGGAGCCTTCTCCTCCACAAACCACGTTCAATTTGGACTCCATCGTCAACAGTCTCCCCACTCGATTGAAAAGTTTGAGTGGAGATTCTATGAATCGTACATCTTCCATTAGACTGCTTATATCTCATCGTCAACGGCGACCCAAATCAGATAGTTTATCCGAAGACCAAGCTTTTGGAAGTTATAAGGATTTAACAAATATGGAAATTTCCAATAGCGACGTACCTGAAAGAAGACGTCCATTAACCTCATGGAAAGGTGATCGTTCTGCGTTGTCTTCTATAATAAATCGCCATTCAAAATATATGAAGTTTGTCAATGATGCTGGTTGTCATGAGTCAGATGAAGATTCCTCTGCTACTTCTTCACCCAAATCTCGTTTGGATTTCATATTGGACCAATTAGAACTGATGGATGATAGCGAAATTGCAGAGTTATACAAGACTGGTGAGCTAGATTGGTTACATGAACACGGCATTGATCCGGAATCCATAATTCCTCGACCTATCCTAGTTGCCCAAGACAGTAGTTATGAAGATGATCCTCCAAAACTATCTTCTACAAGTCAAACAGCAGATCATACTGGAACTGCTGCTTTTATTGCTCGTGCTGGTCCAGTTTTAAGACAATATGCTCCTGCTCCTCCCAGCTCAAGCATATCACTGACATACCATACCGCAGATCCGTCACCTCTGACGGAAAAGTTTGAAGATAAAGATGATTCTAACAAGAATTACACTGATTCACCCATCCGTGATCCCAACAGTTTCCCCAATCCTTCTTTGTTGAGAACTCCAAACAATTATAGCCAGGAAAGTCCATCTACATTGACACCATCAACGTTAATTGCTTTGGAGGAGGCACCAATGCTTAATATGAAGCAAAGTGATGCCCCAGAAAGTAGAAAGACTTCTCCTTTAAGGACAAGGAATATTTTAGCAATACAGAGGGAAGCAAGTGCTGAAAGAAAGCCTCACGAAGTCATTGCAAAAGAAGCAACAACCAAATCTTCGCTTGAAACTGAAGGCATTGAAGCCGAAACAATCAAACCATTATACCTAAAGTATCGTAACCGTTCCGACGGAAGCGGGTCCAAGTCAGCATCTGAGAAGCCTGAATGTGCACCATCTAAACAATCTACAACTTTTAATTCCCAAGATATAGTCCTTGCTGAACTGTTCAAAGGTGAACAAGAGACCAGCAAAGCTCTGAAAGAGTTTGACTTTGACGATGATGAAGAGATTGATGAATTTGTTGAAGAGGACGTTTTACATGACAGTAGTCTGGATTTAAGACCCTCCTCATTAACATTACCCCCTTCTCCATTCAACGGACCTTCTCTTCCTGAATTTAATCTTGTGAAAAAGAAGTCAATCAAGTCTGTTCTGACATCAGATTTAACTGCTCCAAATAGATTTTTTGTCGAAGGAAAGCTTGCCTTAAAGAATTCATCCTTGACTTCTTTGGATAGAGTTCAAAACGAACGTAGTTTGAGCAAAGATTTGGCACTAATGGAAAATTCAACTCCAATCAGGCAATTATTAAATGATGATAGTCTCAGTATTGATGGTGCTCTGTTGCCCCCTCCAACACCTCCACCAAAGGACTCACCCACGTACAAGGAGCTTGCACGGAAGGTAAAGAAGCAAAGACGTAGACAACAGAAGGAAGCTGAACGGAAGAAACAAAAGGAACAAGAAGCTCTTGATAAGTTGGAAAATCGTGTTGCGTCTTCGAAAGGTTCCTCTACTCAAAAGGTTACACTGAAGGCACCTGAAGATCGTAAAGTTAAACGGAAGCAATCCCATAATAATTTCCTTAGTGAATTTGAGAAGCCCAGACCTTCCAATGACGAGGCAATAAATAACCATTCACCTCTGCCAATTACTCCTAAGAAGTCTAAGCAAGTTGCTAGTTCATCTGAGAAGGCTGTCGAGAAGTCTCTATCAAAAGAAAAGGATATTCAACCTCAGTCTCACAAGACAGTTGATGTACCCTCCCAACAACGTGTAGCTTCAGTTGATAACGGTAAGAATGCAGTAGACGATATTTCACAGCCTGCAAAGAGCTCCAATTCAGCGAACATTGACGTTATGAAGAACTCCAAATCGGAGATCAGTGATATATCTTTGCTTTCCAAAGAGTCATTTACTGATGCACAAGCTGAACAACAACATGGTATACAAAGTGCTCCAAGATGTTCACTGCCTCCAGTTGTTAAGCCATTTAGTGTTAACCCCTACAACTTACCCAACAATAGTGACACCAGAGTTGCTGGTTTTGATTATGGTACGCCATACAAGAATGCAGCACTAGCTAGAGCAAAAAGACTGGAAGTTGAGACATTACCTGATCCGACTATTGATATGAAATGTGAAGTTGTATCATCTGCTCTTCCCAAGGAACCACCAAAGGATGAGCTGGTTGCTTCCATTCCAAACGAGGTGGTTTCACAAACTTCTAAAATAATTTCTCCAACGTCTGATCAACCTAATGCTGTTTCTTTAGCAGTAACAATACCCAAAAAGGACTTTACAAAGCAAGATGTCACTAAGAGCGAGGTCAAAGTCGAAACTCCACCCACGGACGATGATGTTGTTCCATCCACACCCATGAAGCTGTCGGATTTTAAAACTTCTCCTGTCAGCTCTATGATTGATGCCGTTACACCAACAGAATCTCCCCAGATACCATTAAGACGAAGGGCTCCTGGTTTAACTCCATTACTTGCAACCTCTGAATCCTTTATGAACAGGCCTCCTCCTCCTGAAACTGAAAGAAAGGTAGCTATTCCATCAACGACGCAAGAACCTCAAACTTCTTCAGCCAACGTTACGAAGCCTCCGAATGCTAACAGCGCAGACGTGAAAATAGCTACTACAAGCACCACCGGCCGCAAGCCACCACCACCTATCAGTACAGAGTCTTCAGCTGCTCGGATTGAAGTAAAACATGCTCCTACTACCCAAAAGCAGGGCTTCTTGGAAAAGAAGCCATCCAAAGGCAGCTTCACGTCATCTGATCCGCCTGAAAAGCCAAAGAAAACATTTAAAAATGTTTTCACAAAGATATTCAAGAAGAGTGGCAGCAAGTCTAATATGTTTGAGGTAGTCGAACCTCCACCAAGGCATTCACACAAACAGCATAAGGAGGAAGTAGATAATGAAGCAGAAAATGAACAAGCTGAAGAAGAAACAGAGGAAGAAAAGAGTCTTACTACTCAAAATCTATCACTTTCTTTACCCCCTTTAGAACTTGAATCTCCCAGTTTATTTGATGACATGTTTACTACTTTTGATGAGATAGATAAGCGGAAATCATTTCTTACCGGAGGGGTCAAGCCTCCTTCCATAGTTCCAACCAGGTCTGGACTGACTCGACAACCGTTTTTCTTCAGAGACGATGAATTATCTACAGACCAAATCATGGACCAACAATTGAAGGACGACAAGGACAATGGAATCTCCAGTGAAGCTTCCAAGAATAACAGTGAAGAAGATTTATTTCATGGCAAGCACAGCGCCAATGCCAATGGTGGAGATTTCCTTGGGAAAGATATACTTGGATCTTTATCTTCATTACGTAAACCTGTTTCGACCAATAGCAAAGGTGCACCTACAGACTCCGTTTACATTGATGATAATATTCTTTTCTTACAGAACGAGTTTAACTGGAAGAACCTCAGTTTAGAAGGGGAAACAACCACCACCACTTCCTCAAGATTACATCCTATGGAGCAGCAACCACCAAGGTCTCCATTAACAGAGACACTTGAAATCCACGATGTAAGCCAATTCGATGATGGTAACAGCTACTTGAAGCTTGCTAAGCAGTTCAAAGTCGAGATTACCAAGGGAGAACCATTGGAAGTCATAGTGAATAAGTTTGAGGACGACGTTACTTATAGACCCGTTCCTCCAAGCGAGGTTCGTGATGGACTCAAGCCGATCTTATCTAAGAGGTCTAAGATAGGTGTGTCTCCTAATCCGGCTTTAATGAACCGAAGTCATAGCTACAACATTAATTTGGACTACAGACAGAAACCAACTCCTATAAGCAACAATAACAACAACATCAACAAGTCTGTTCAGTTCGATAGAAAGATTCTTATCAACGAAACGTTTGCTCCAGACCAATACAGAAGATACAACAAGTGTGTGACTCAATATACCTTAACTGATCCCAATGAGATCAACAAAATCAAAGACGAATTGAACACTTACAAATGCAATGAGATGTTGATCCATAATCACAGTAAGAAATACACCCATTTCTTCTACTGAAATTAGCTTTTATTCCTTCGCTTTATTAACTATAATGAATACACAAATTCTTAAGTATATATTTGTAAGACACCCCAACACCATTTTTCAACTTCCCCGATAAGTAGTGTAACTGTGATTGGCCAAAAGTAATGGGATATGGTAGTGGCTGTCTGGCGGACTATCAATTGTAAAGAGGATCTCAACGAATGGGAAGAAGGTACTCAGCTTCTGTTGGAGAAAGTACTTGCTAGTAAGGAACTTACATTTGTAGACCCCCAGTTTCAAACTTGTCCAATTCAATTGGCTGGTTATTCCCAACTGCTGATATTGCTCTGCTCTTAACTCAGGGTTTATGGTCCATTTCTTGACCCGTCCATCGGTATCAGTTCTAGCCATACAAATGAGAGTACTGTTGTTGTTAACCTCAGCAGTTAAGTCTGAAGAAATGTAGTAAAGTTGGACCGTAACTCCAACAGCAGGTTTGCCGGTGGTGGTGTCAAGAATGTGACACGTTATAGGATCCATTCTTGTAATGAAACAGCAGTAGTAGAACAACGGTGATGAAGTTCAGTTATAGTTCAGTTGCGAGAGTTGCACTTGTTTGTGATAAGAGTTAATTTGCTGATAAGCGGTCACGTGATCTCGGCGATCACCGATTAAATACCCGAGACTTTACCCTTTGAATCTCCATTGAAACTTACCACAGACCCATCTATTTTTATCTCCGACATCGTACATAACGATGAAGTCAATGAGTGAGTTCATGATCCTAAAGTCCCAATTCTCCAGAGTGAACTGGGGGAATTCAGCGATATATTTGGGGACATCGAAGGTTCTGTCTTCATCAAAAGTCATTTTTGCCAATTTCATACGTCTTAAACAGTTGGCTGTGTTGTTATAAAGATTCTTTAGGTTTGTGGACGATATTGTTTTGTTTCTAGTGGAAATATGAATCAAGTTGTAATGACGGTATAACTCTTGACATGCTTCGAGAATACCCCCAAAGGTACCCCATTTATCGCGGAGGTGTACCTTGTAGAGTTGGGGGACCAGGATAGGAACAAACTTATTAAGTATTAGTATTCTAATGATTTCTGCCAATAGAATATGACGAGGAGGTCCCTGTCTATTGATAGCAATGACTTCAATATCACTTGAATCCCCGACAACTTCTGTAAGAGAGTCACTGTCAGTGTCTATAATATCGTAACGCTTTCTATTTGGTAGGTATAGTGAATCTTCTATTCCTGTGGAGATGGGTATCTCTTCTTCTTCTACTTCTGAATCACTACTAATCACAAGAACTGCTGAGTCTTTAACTGTTGAATCTTTAACTTTACCATCTTGTGACGACTTGTAAATGTCTGTAGTATCAGGCACTACTACTTCCCAATCCACACTTAAGTGGTCCTTACGGTACTTCAAGGTCTTATTCCATATACTAAGTTCCGAGGAGAAGTCACCATTTCTATCCTTTACTTGTAACGCTCGACCTTGTAGCTGACGGTTTCTTATCAACAAATGTCCCTTAATGACAACTATAACACCATAGGTATGACCCCATTGGAGTCCCTGGGCCAAGTATAGTCCAAAGGGGACTCTACAACGTAAGATGGACCGATGACCGGAAGTATCATCAATGGATAGTATAATAGTAGTAGCAGATTCATCATCAGAACTCAGAATCATCTCTTCTCCTACTATTCTACCCCCAACTTCAATGGAGGTAACCACATGGTTCCCTATAAGAATGGCATTCGCATACGCCAGTGGTATGGAACCAAGATAGAAGTCACGGGCAATGGGTGCCTTCAAAACATCAATAATAAATAAGGGAACAGTAGCGGAAGTACATGGATCAAGATGGAACAAGGATGGCCAATAATATCGTCGGCCATTATTACCACAACGAAAGACATGAGTTTCCATTGGCTTTAGAAACGTTTAGAAGATCATATCAATGAACGAACCGAATGCGTTAGATCAGCTCAACAACAAGTGTGGTTAGAAAATTGGCCAAAGAGACTCCATCAATTAGACCATAAGAGTGAAGGTACTCCTCACTCTGTATATATGCTTTGCTTTACTCCGCTAGCTCTTTCTTGCACGATTCACCTTAAGCTAAGTGTATTTGTATGCTTATCAGTTTTGCCAGCACACGACCATGGTCGGTACAAAAAGTGATCTTGGTCTGAGATGAGCTTGGGGGTTGAAGTGCAACTACTGGCAAAGCAAGATGGCATTGTTTGAAGTTGATGGCTGGGATTTGAAGAGCAAGACCGTTGCTTTCAGTGACGGGGGAGTACTGAAGAACAGAAAGGAAAGAAAAGAAAAGAAAAAACAAGCACTGAAGGAACGATGGGAAAAGAAGAGAAGAGGAGATGAGCAGCCTGAAGAACAACAACCAGAAGTAAAGAGACAGAGATCAGACGATAGAAGAAAGGGGTATAATAAGGAAGAAGCTCGATCCGATACCAAGGTCGAAGCTGGCTCTACTGGTTCTACTTTATCTGCTCCTCCACCTGTTACTCCTACTTCTGATACTAAGAAACTCAGCCCTTTGCAACAGAAGATGATGGCCAAACTATCTGGGTCTAGGTTCCGGTGGATCAATGAACAATTATATACCATTTCATCAGAATCAGCTTTGGATTTGGTCAAGAAAGAGCCTAGTTTATTCCAAGAATACCATCAAGGGTTCCGGTCTCAAGTTCAATCATGGCCAGAGAATCCTGTTGACGTATTTGTTGATCAAATTAAGACCAGAGGGTCTCTGAAACCTATAAATGCACCTGGAGGTCTTCCAGGTTTCCAGAATAGACAAGTTGTGATTGCTGATATGGGATGTGGAGAAGCACAATTAGCCTTAGATGTGAATAACTTTGTCAAACAATATAATGCCAAAAACTCCTCCAAAAAGAATTCTCGGAAACCTCCAAGAAGAAATGTCGGACCTTCATCTTTGGATATTAAAGTCCATTCCTTTGATTTACAAAAGGCTAACGACAGAATTACTGTGGCTGATATCAAAAATGTACCGTTACCTGATAGACTGTGTAACATCGTTATCTTTTGTTTGGCATTGATGGGTACAAACTTTTTGGATTTCATTAAGGAAGCGTATAGACTACTTGCACCTAGAGGAGAACTTTGGATCGCAGAAATCAAGTCCAGATTCTCTGAATCTGGTTCTAAAACTAAAGAAGATCAAGTTGGTGAAGAGTTTGTAAATGCCTTGAAGTTATGTGGATTCTTCCATAAAGCCACGGACAATAGCAATAAGATGTTCACTCGGTTTGAGTTCTTTAAAGCCCCACAAGAAATACTTGATGAGAAGAAAGCCAAATTAGAACGGAAGAAGAAGTTCATTGAACATGAATCAGAGAAGGAAGAGCTTGAAAGCAAGAGGGAAAAGGTTCCGGAAGGCGAATGGCTTTTGAAGCCATGCATATACAAGAGAAGATAGTAGCGAGCACTTTTACTACTAAAGGAACAGAAGAAGTAGTGGTATGAACAGAAGTCACACTTCAGATCAAATAATTTTCTTTTGAGGTGCTTGTTGAATGAAACTTCATCTTTAAAGCTGAGTTATCATCTATCATCCTTAGCAGTAGTAGGAAAATATTCACTCTTCTTTCAACATATTTAGTTTGCACAACACTTTATGCATTTATTATGATTTACGTTCAATGCTTGCTACTCCAGCATATGTGCCTCCCCCTTAGAACCAGATTATATTTTTCAACTCAGTCTTTAAAGTTAAATCCGAGATAGTATGCATTACATTTATTGATATCTCCATCAACCTCACATTAAGTATTATTATTGTCATCAATCTCTGAACTGTACAAACTTCGGTGTATAATTTCTAGCATTGCTCAAAGCTTTTAAACCTAATATACATCACCATATTCTAATCTAGCAACGTATCAGAAAGAGGGTTTTCTGTTCTGAGATCACAAATTCCATGCACATTCTACTTCATCAACAGGTTTGTATACTCCAAATCAGTTTCATGATTTTCAGACAGTTTTTCTATTTCTTCATCTTCATCCTTTAAGGACTATGTACGCACACAGTGGCACCACAATATAAGCAACCGTACAGATGCTATTATAGTTAGCTTAACATATATGATCGAATGGGTTGAAGTTCATATGGGTATGTAATGAGTAAGTATACTAGTTTAAGTATAGTATACATCCTCGACTCGCACTGTTTAATCTTGCTGTTTCCTTTTTGCATTGCAGTCAATGCAAATGTAGACTATGAAACGGTTTACATGCTACATCGTAATCGTTTGCACATATTTTCGATTGCAGTATGAGTTTTTTTAATCTTGTGACTGTTTGTTAATCATAGTTATTAGTGTCTGATGAGCTTCGCTGAAATCCTGATCCTACACTCATCCTTATATCACAATTGATACTAGTAAATGGGTTATGATGTCAGGAGCGAACGTCCTTTGAAGAATTATTCATCGCAGTACAAATAAACGATAGTCTTACGAGATAACATCCATTCAAACGTCAACTGAATGCCCGAGACTAATCTCCGTATTCAACCATGTATGACGTTACATGTTAAGCACGTTCCCGAGAAAGGGCTGAACTTCTGGATTCTGTATTGGGATTTCTATGGGTCCAAAGAGGAAGTGCGCAAATGCCGGCCGCATTTTTTTTTGAGCCGAGAAAGCCAGCCATTTGCAAGCCGACTTCCTAATTGGGAACAGGCCCAGCTCATCTTGACAAAGAACCCCAGATAAAGGGCCATATTAGAAAAGAGTCTATGATTAGAGGTGGAGGTGGTGCTGGTAGTCGGTGCTGGATACCTCTACCCAATGTGGCACGAGGAGGAATGAGTCCAGCATATATATATAGCGGAGGAAAAGTATGTAACTGATGGAACCCTATTATGGCTTTTAATGGAACTAACCCATTAACTACACTTACAGCAATATCAATACCATCATCAAAGCATTCACTCATTAGAATGACAGACTATTATCAACCTAGTTTGCTTTTCAGACAGAATGCAATGAGACGTCGGTATCATCCTCAATTGTCACCAATAATGAGTAATGAAAGTCTCGATTCACAAATATCACAACTAAGTCTCAAAGGGTCACAGAAGTCAAGCAATTCTTGGCTACTTAAAGACTTCAATGACTCAGATCTTCAGTTGGTGAACAAATCATGTGCTTTGGACAGAGTCAATGTCACATCCAATTACTGGAAAGTTCCAGATAACACCATGTATTTGACATCCATGGCCATCAAAAGGCAAGCTGAAGAACAAGATTCAGAAGACGTAAGGATAGCCATTGCTAGTGGAGGTAGCGAGAATAACCTTTTCATCTATGACTTGGACATAGTAGACACATATCTCACCCATCAAAGTACTATATCGTTAGCCAATATCCATTCGTTGCAATGGGTACCTCAAACAGATAACTTATTAATCACCGGTAACGATAAAGGGTACGCACATTTGGTGTCTATTCCCGAATCAGATTCAGACGAAAGTGCAGAGATATGTAAACGGTTCAATCACAGGAAACACATGAAGACCGTTAATAAACCAACAAACAATGATTATTATTCCCATACAAGTATCAAGAGAATGTGCCTTAATAATGGGAATAGAGAATTGCTCACCATTTATGATACCAATTTGTTCCATTGGGATATTCATGGAGCTCACACCCAATTGAAGCCCTCTCCAATGCTGATAACTCCAATACCTGGTTTAATGAATCTAGAACCCATGAGTAATAATGCACCACATCAAATAGGAATCTGTGGTAAGTTCGGAGTTTCTCTATTGGACTTGCGAGACCACAAGTTCTCTGTACCCAAAAGGGACCTCTCTGTCAAGGAACAACACAACTTCCAATGTAACATGATGAGATGGAAACCTCACGATGCCAATGTGTTTGCAGGAGCACACAGAGATGGAGTGGTGAGGATTTGGGATATTCGGAAACAAGGAGAAAGCGTTGGCAACTTTAGTGGTCACACAGGGAGAGTCACCAGTATGGAATGGAACAACGGCGATTTGTTCACTGGTGGAAAAGATGGGAATATCATCTTTTGGGATCTCAATGGATCCAATGGTAGTCTAAAGAACTGTGGGGTAAAACAAGGACTTGAAAGTGTTCATTTTGATCCCAAAACAAATACTGTTGACAAAGTCTTGAACCAGACCCAATGTGGAACGGTGTTACCTGCTTCCAATACTAATGTGGTGGGGATGACATCTATTAGTCAACGCAAAGATGGAGCCTCAGTATTATCCATTGATGGTAGTTCATATTTGGGAGTTCACAAACGTCTAGAAGATGTGTATGACCTTGAGCTGGCCTTATACTACACCAAAGAGGAGTTGAAGTTGATGAAGTTGAGTGAAGTTGGCACCGGTGGTAGTAGTAATACGTTGGTTGGTGGGGATCATACTGGCTGTGAAATTGATATTGAACTACTTGAATGCAAACCATTGCAACCAATCAAGAATACCGACAGCGTTGACATGGCTGACATTATTGATGTCGACGAGTCCTTAACGTTTGGTTTAGGACATAAGAACATGTCTAACGATACTTTGGTTTCTACTACAAGTAGTTGTTATGAACTGCTTGATCCCAAAGTTGTTCTTCTCCAACGTCAACCACTGACCAGTTCTAGTACATACAGTGATGACGATGACGATGACGATGCTGATAAGGATACCACCCAGTTCATGTCACCGGGGTCGCTTGTATCTGATAACACTTTAGACTCAATTGCATCACCAATCTCTGTGGCAACAGAGGGAGCCAACGACAATAACGGATCTATTGATACATTGGACACATTATATTCATCTGAGGTTCAATTGCACCATAAATCCAATCTGCTACAATCTTCAACATTGGATTACAGTAAGTTCAGACTTGAGCTTGATTTTGAACTTGATACAGATGATTTTGATTTCGGTGCTCCAGCCATCATGGCATAAAGGCATACCCATAATACAGATAACGACATATATGATTAATAATAGTGCAGTACGCTTACCATATCCCAGAACAATACTTCTTACTCGCTTCAATGTACTTAATTAGCAAGGCTTGTATTCTGTATACTTTATTAGTAAAGGCTCAGTGTTATATTACATGCTTACGATACGTAAGTAAGGCTTGTTATAAGCATAGTATATGCCTAGTACACAGTTATATGTTAACTATATGTTAACTTCTACATCATGTGACCAAAGGTCAACATTACATAATCAGGAAGTATTCAGCCTCTGTCTTTGGTCGTGCGAAGCTCATCTTTATATCCGTTTGACTTGCGATGAAAATTGTACACGACAATCCACCACCACCTTCCAATCAACAGTCCATTAACACTCCCTGACTAATTAGTAGAGACTCATATACTTTGAGTTGTGTGTTTATAGATACCAATAGTATTGTGAGCTTTACTCACACGTGGTTGAACCCGATATAGTTCTATATCGTTGATCTATCAGTATACGGAAGGGAATAGAAGGGAAGTATTAGGTATACTGTACTACATTACCCTATACAATACTATACTACACTATATTACACATAATTGATTGCTACGACCATGACAAGAAGTACAATCAATGTGAAGGTTGTGGCTGCAGAGTCTCTCTATAAAAGAGATGTCTTTCGGCAACCAGACCCATTCGCAGTTATAACCATCGATGGAGCTCAAACAAAAACAACTAAAACTGCTAAGAAGACTTTGAACCCTTATTGGAATGAAAAATTTGATGTCACGGCTTCTGAAGATTCAATATTGATCATTCAAGTGTTTGATCAAAAAAAATTCAAAAAAAAGGATCAAGGTTTCCTTGGAGTGGTTAACGTTAGAGTTGGAGATGTTATTGATTTAAGTTTACCAAGCTCCGAAGAAACTATCACCAGAGATCTTAAGAAATCAAACGAAAACTTGGCTGTCACGGGTAAAATTATTATTGTCATATCTCATTCGTCATCAGCTTCAACCAGGAATGGCACTTCATCGTTTGGCAATGGATCTTCCAATTCTGCTGCGGCTACTGCCAGACTTTCATCTTCATCTACTGGTGTTGTTGGGGGTTCTTCTGCTCCTCCTCCTGGTATTAATTCTTCTTCTACAGGTGGTGCTTCCTCTTCCGGTAATTCCCAAAGACAATATTCTTCGTTTGAAGATCAATATGGTAGATTGCCAACAGGTTGGGAAAGAAGAACAGATAACTTTGGAAGAACTTATTTTGTTGATCATAATTCAAGAACAACAACTTGGCAAAGACCTACCTTGGATCAAACAGAACTGCAAAGAGACCAGCAACGTGAACTGACCACTGAAGCTGAAAGAAGACAACATCGTGAAAGAACCTTACCCGGAGATACTCCACTGTCTCCTACTCTTGGTGCTCAAGGAAGTTCTACATCCGTTACTAGTGGTAGTGTGACTGTTAATGCACTTGGTCCCAATCAACCTGTTTCTCCTGCTGCCGCAGTGTCCATGGCTGCATCTGGTGCCACAACTAGTGGGTTAGGTGAGTTGCCATCTGGCTGGGAACAGAGGTTTACTAATGAAGATAGACCTTATTTTGTTGATCATAATACTAGAACAACCACTTGGGTTGATCCTAGAAGACAACAATATATTCGTACTTATGGACCCAACACCACTATTCAACAACAACCAGTGTCACAATTGGGACCTTTACCAAGTGGTTGGGAAATGAGATTGACAAACACTGCAAGAGTTTATTTTGTTGATCATAATACTAAAACCACAACTTGGGATGATCCAAGATTACCTTCATCATTGGATCAAAATGTTCCTCAATATAAGAGAGACTTTAGAAGAAAGTTGGTTTACTTTAGATCACAACCTGCATTGAGAATTTTACCTGGTCAATGCCATATAAAGGTTAGAAGAGATCATATTTTCGAAGATTCATATCAAGAAATCATGAGACAATCACCTGAAGATTTGAAAAAGAGATTGATGATTAAATTTGAAGGTGAAGAAGGTTTGGATTATGGTGGAGTTTCAAGAGAGTTTTTCTTTTTACTTTCACATGATATGTTTAATCCATTTTATTGCTTATTTGAATATTCTACCCTTGATATTTATACCTTACAAATTAATCCTAATTCGGGTATTAATCCTGAACATTTGAATTATTTCAAGTTTATTGGTCGTGTTGTTGGATTATGTGTTTTCCATCGGAGATTTTTGGATGCTTTCTTTGTTGGAGCATTATATAAGATGATGGTTAGAAAGAAGGTTGTTCTTCAAGATATGGAAGGTGTTGATGCTGAATTTTACAGATCATTAAAATGGATGTTAGATAATGATATTTCTGAAGCCTTTATGGGGACTACATTCACTGTTGAAGATGATAAATTTGGAGAAATTGTTGAGATTGAATTGAAACCTGGTGGAAAAGATATTGAAGTGACTGAACAGAATAAGCTTGAATATGTTGAGTTAATTACTGAATGGAAGATTCATAAACGGGTGGAGGAACAATTTAATGCATTTATTGATGGTTTCAATGAATTAATTCCTGAAGCCTTGGTTAAAGTTTTTGATGCTCGTGAATTGGAATTATTAATTGGTGGGTTAGCGACAATTGATGTTGATGATTGGAAAAAACATACTGATTATAGAGGATATTCTGAAAGTGATCAAGTTATTCAATGGTTTTGGCAATGTCTTAGAGAATGGGATCTGGAACAAAAAGCAAGATTATTACAATTTACCACTGGTACTTCAAGAATCCCTGTTAATGGATTTAAAGATTTACAAGGATCTGATGGACCAAGAAGATTTACTATTGAAAAAGCTGGAGAACCGGAACAATTACCTAAATCTCATACTTGTTTCAATAGAGTGGATTTACCACCTTATACTAGTTATGAAAGTTTGAAACAGAAATTAACTATGGCTGTGGAAGAAACTGTTGGTTTCGGTCAAGAATAGAAAAGAAAGAAGAAGAAAAGACGTACAGTAATACTTTGCTCTACTGTGTACTTGGTAGTTTTGTTTCTATATCTATATACAGTTTATATTCATTCAAATGGTTATTGCACTTTGTAGTAGAGATAAGCTCATTGCACCACACGACCGCGGGGAACCATAGATGACCTTCTTTGGTTCAGAGCATTGCTTGATGTGGGCATGTTTTAGTCAGCAGGTTTGGGAGGGGAGACGTAAAGGGGGAACATGAACGGGGAAGAAGCCCTTCAAGAGTATATAAATAAGAACACTTTGACCCGTGTAAGATTATATTACGTATACCTTTACTAGTGAACGACAAGTATAATTAATTGCATTTGCCAAAACTTGAATCATACACGACTATGCCGGATCTCTTTGATAACTTCTTTGCTAAGATTGGAACCAAGTTGAATGGGGGTCATCTGCTGTCTCATTACCAAATGAGTAACCAGGTCAATACTGGTAGTTACTACCATTACCACAGTCTGGCTCTGAACAACCATTATTGGCTACCTCAGCAGAAAAAGGAGATGAGTGAAGAGATGAAGAATAGAATGCTCAAAGATATTACTGAGAATAAGGATATGACAGAGATGAGAAGAGGGTCTGTTAGCTCCGAAGAAGGTGACGGGTTAATGGATAGAAGAGGTTCAATCACGACATCTTTGAATGAACGGAAATCTAGTGTTAGTTCTATGGGGTCAGATGCCCCCTTAAATCAAGCCAGTGATCCAATGATTGTGTTTTACTCCACCCCACCATGATCACGAGATCAATAATCACGTGACGATTTTTAGGAGTGATTTTTATGACTAACGATATATATTGACTATGAATACATGACTCAATTAGAAATGAAAAGATAAGCTACTTGTAAGTGCGGATGTCTATGGACGGTGGCTATAGCGGTAAATGTAGATGTATATGGAAATGAGGCTATATATATTATGTAAGAAGAAATGAATAATTATGAGAAAATCAACGAATCAACGTTTAAACTAACAGAAATATCGACTGAAACAACAACAAAAACGTTTGTGACTGTTTTGGAAATTAGAGGAATCAGAATGTAAATCTCCATCATCTCGTACGGGATGCATTCCATTACTATAATATCTGGCATCATGATTATTCTGTAAGAGTGGAGTTGTCTGTGAATAGTTCAGTGATTGAGGTAAACTTTGGTATCGTCCTTGGACCAGATTATTAGGTTGAGATTTGCGAGAGCCGGGTTGTTGTTGAATACTTCTTTGATTACCGGTGCTATTATTAATAATATTGTTGTTGTTGTTGTTGTTGTTCGTTGATTTATGATGTTGAGGAGGATGAGGGTTTCCATATCCATGTAAATTTGCCTTCTTATTTAAGGCTGCATCCCAGCCTTTACCATTGTTCAAGTCCATCCAGTCATAGTGATCATCCTCCTTTCTATCAATTGATATCATTGCCTTATCCATAAGGCCTAAAAGATAAGGATAATCTGGATCTTCGTCAAATCTTAAGCTCCGAGCATATTTTAAATATTGAGCAAATTGAATAGGAAACCCATAACATAATTCATTAATTGGAGTATGTTGTTTTTTCATGCCAATTTTTTCATACTTTTGTTTATTCAGTGCAGCTTTAAGTCCTTGCCATGGTAATGAACCTCTAAGGAAATACATAAATACATGACCCAAACTTTCTAAATCATCTCTTCTCAGTTGTTCTCTCCCAACATGAGTATTAATGGACATATATCTTGCTGTACCACTTAGAGCCTTTTTCTCTCTGAAAGGTATATGAACTTTTGTTTTAGGATCTCTATATTGTTTTGCCATACCAAAATCAACAATATAAATCTTGTTAGCATTTGAAGTACCTGGTTTACCTATAAGGAAATTGTCTGGTTTAATATCTCGATATATTAAATTAGCTTCATGAATAGATTGCACTCTTGATATCATTTGTTTAGCCACTTGAATAACTGTTTTAACCAGAAACTTCCGACCACACCAATCAAATAAATCTTCTAATGAAGGACCCAACAAATCTATTATAAGTATATTATGAACACCTTCTTGACCAAAGAAATAAGCTTTCGGAATCCCATCAATGCCCGTTAATATCCGATAAGAACGATACTCATCCCGAAGCTGAGGAGCTTCACATTTCCTGGGTTCAAACTTAATAGCAACCTGTTGATTATTAAGTAGATTAACCCCTTCAAAAATGATTCCAAACGATCCCTCTCCTATTTTTTTACCCACACGGTAATGAACCCCTATGATATTTGAGTTTGCCATGGCACCTACCTTTCAAAACTAGTCAGGTACGGTCGGTCAAACTCGGTCTTCACAGTCAGTAAAACTCCGTCACTCTTTGTCACAGTCGTCACGCTTGTTCACAGTCGTCGTCACTTAGCTACAGCTAGCCACAGTCTACTCTCTAATAGTTCCAGGAAGAGAACGAACCTCACCTGGTGATAATGGATTGATTGTTGTTTGAGTCTGCGAAAATTTTGTGTAGGGTCGTCCGCATTGAACGAAACTAGGCTTGAGAGGACGGAGTTAATGGGCACCTTTAAAGTAGAAAGTTGTATGGGGCCAGGCCATGTAGACGCTATGCCAAGGAGTAAGGTGTCCTTGGAATTGGCTAGGGTAGTAGGAAGGCTACGTGAAGGGGAGTTGTGGTGGATGGAATGGCATGTCGTTGTAAGTGGGCTGGAAAGTAGTGTGGGTTGGAGAGAATAGTGGAGAAACGGAATAGGAGAGTCGAACAGTAACACTGTAGTAATATCAGGACGCTGTTACAGTTCAGTAATATAGTAGTAATGTAGTAGTACGGGGCAGGGCAGGGCTGGTATACTGTAGTTCAGGGGTAGAGTACGATACAACAGCACTGTAGTAAAGTTGCTTTACTGTCGTTCTAACAGTATTACCATTAAAATTACACTGTACCCTATATGACACTCGTATACTGTAAAAACATTAATGGTGTTCATATACAGATCCTACCGAGTCTAGAAATTAAAAAACTTGTCTATACTTGTATTATCTCTACTATTGTGGTGCACTTTATCCGTTAGGATTGCTTACCTGCTAAACCATTCTAATGCTATGCTTCTCGTAAAGTCATACTACATACTGTGGTAGTACGACACGCCATACTATCATCCTGGTGTAGTACAACACGCCATACTATCATCCTGGTGTAGTACAACGCACCATAATGCCATACTACTGTAAAGTTATATCGTTTATAGCATCATACTGTTGTATACTGCTGATTCCTATATCGTGCTCACATAATTGCATCTGAAAAATAATCTCCATCACTTTGTATTCGACACTTAGTTACTCCATTACTTCGATAAGAATCACCATGAAGGTTGGCTCGTTGGTTTACGCTTATCATGGCCCACTTATTTACCAGGCCAAGATCATGAAATTCCATGCCAAAGACTCAGAAACCATAGAAGTGGCTGATGGGAACTCCGAACCTGTTAAAGACGATGCGAAGCTTAAAGACTTGGCTACAGATTCATATTTCATACATTATCAAGGCTGGAAGAACAAATGGGATGAATGGGTAGACCAAAGCAGACTCTTGGAGATCAATAAGGAGAATGAACAATTGAAGAAGGAACTAGAAATGACCCTTAAACCTCGTAAACGAAAACAAGAGGATCAACACTATGAAGGTGGTGCTGGCTCTAGTAGTGCTGGGGCAGGCTCTAATTCTGGCGCTGGAGCTGGAGCTAGCTCCAGCGCTGCTGGAAATGGTACTGGTGTACGAAAGTATAAGAAACGGAAATCAGCAAACATCTACGAGATCACTATAAAGTTCCCCAATGATCTTAAATACTTATTGGTTGATGATTGGGAATTCATCACTAAAAACAGACAACTCATATCAATACCTGCGACCAAACCAGTGCACACGATCCTCAAAGAGTACCTTCAGTTCAAGTCAGAACAATATGAGCACGATCACCTTAAAGTTGATGTCATCAAGGAAATGCTACAAGGTCTAGAAACATATTTCAACAAGGCATTACTGTTGCTATTGCTCTATAAATACGAGAGGCTACAGTTGTTGGATCTATTGAAGCAAGACAGACAAAGCATCAACCATTTCAGTGAGATTTATGGGGTGGAACATTTGTTACGGTTAATTTCAAACTTGCCAAGTCTATTAAGTGAGACAACTATGGATAGTGTTAGTCTCGGGGTATTTATAAGTGAATTGGAACAATTGTTGATGTATATTAAGGATAATTTGGGAAGTTATATCAATGAGTATGTCAATACTCATCCTAATTACGATTCACTAGCTAGGGCGTAATACTTAGTCAGCAGTCATAGTCATAGTCATAATCATAAATCATTATATATAGTATGTCTCTATACAAACGTTGGAATGGCAATATAATCAACATCAACCATCGCATTCTCATTATTACAAGTCACCTTCAACTCAATCTTCCAATGTCTATCATACTCATCCTCTTCTTCCTTACTGAAGCCGTGCAAACCTTCATCTGCATATTTCCAAGTGGTTCCAGTTGGGAGTTCCTCTACACCCATTTTATGGAAATCCATCTTGAACCCACTGGCCTTCTCCATGTCGTGCATCAAGTGTTTCTCAATGTGCTGATGTAAATGACGCTTGAACTTGCTGTTGTTACTATTCATAGTTGGTTTTATCTTATCAAGATCATCGTGACATTCCTTTAATACAAATGGTGGATAGTATCTCAATCTGGCATGACAATAGTCAAACTCATTATCCCAAGTTTCATCTCTGATGTATGCTTCAAACGACTTGACATCATCAAATTCACGTTGTGGTGGTGGTGCAATGAACTTTTGGTTATCAACCTCGGTAATTGACTTGGATCTGGCCTTAGGGGCTGGTTGCAAATGCTCTAAAGTTTCACACTTATCCAAGTCGATTTGTTGTTGTTGTTTCTTATCTTTCTTTGTCATTATTAGTTGTAGTTATAACTGTATTAGTAGTTTTAGTATAGGAGTTGTATCAGTAGCTGTTGTATTGATGATTCTCCTTCTTGTACTTTCATTGCCAATTAGGTTACAAGCTCTATTTATATTCCCAGCTTCTCCACATCAACCCACTCCCCTCAGCCATTACACACACCCAAGCAATCCCCTTCAAGGAGTAAATATCTCAAAGGGTGATCAAACATGGGGTGACAGTATTTTCCTTCATACTGTAGGACATCAGTGGTCGTGTACCATATAATTTTATGCTTCAACCAGTACTGATAGAAGCACTGGGGAAATGCTATCAGTTAACGAGACAATAATCTCAACAGTCAACCTTATAGTATTGTTGTACATTGTAGCAACTAATGTAGCTACTGATTTCACTATTGTAATGTAACTACAGTACTATTACTACTATACTCAGTCAATTAGACTTAATTGAGCTCTTAGCAGTTCATTCATCACGGCATAGTCATCAATTCGGACACGATCGGAAAAATAGTTGCGACTTTTTCCGAACCCATACCATAGGGCACATTCAGTTCACACCACACCACTATCACGGAATATCTCCGCAATTAACCCATTACTATGGTTCGTAATGGGCTTCTTATTTACCTATAATGTAAACATTGGTGACTTATTACGTTTATAGTCGAATTTCATTCGTAGTGTCCGTTAACGCAGTACCCCACTATTATATTGAGAATTGTGTGCTGAGTTCTGTTCGTTCACACACCCATTCAATATACATTGCTATCTGAACATTCCCACATTTTTGTTTCTTCATGGTTTGAAGCCCTCTGTGTGGAAAAGGACTATGTCTTCTTTAAGTAGCTGAAAGTTTTCACTATGATCTCTTCTTCATCAGATAAATGGAAGAATATAAAAAGTGAGTAAGTGTACTTATTATGTAATGCAATGTTGGGATATTGCTGACGTAAGCATTCGGCAATCATCTGAAGATCTTGAAAAAATCATTCAAACTATAACTGAGTGTTTAATATTATTATTATTACATAGTCAAATATAGGCTGGCCTGTAAGCAATGTTCGGCGTCTACGACCCCCAAGGGGAAAAGAAACACCTCTCTCAAATGTCCCAGGAGGAGCAAGCGGAAGAAGGCGCCAAACAAATGATCAACTTGATGCAATCATGTCCTGGGAAAACAGTGATTGCTGGTGTTTCAGGGTTTGGACTTGGTGGGTTCTTTGGTTTATTTATGGCGTCTATGGCTTATGATGTTCCTATTGGATCCACTGGAGCTTCTCATATATCAGATTTACCCTTTAAACAACAAATGAAGCTCCAATTCTCCGACATGGGTAGAAGAGCTTGGCTGAGTGCAAAGAATTTTGGTTATATTGGTATGGTCTATTCCGGTGTCGAATGTCTGATTGAAAGTATGAGAGCCAAACATGATATTTGGAATGGTGTATCTGCTGGTTGTATAACAGGTGCGGGCTTATCATTTAAAGCTGGACCTCAAGCTGCAGCTTTTGGTTGTGCTGGGTTTGCTGCTTTCTCTGCTGCCATTGATACCTATTTGAACCTGGACGCTGCTCCTCCTCCAGAGAACGACTATGACTTGTAATTCATGCCGTTTCTCTGTCTGTATATTATTATTATTAGTATTATCATTATCTGTAAATATCTGTGTCTAATCCATTCGGTAGATGTATTCCAGGTATAGTGCCAGTATCATAAAATATGCTATTATCATCAATGACAAATAAATGGCATACTTTAGAAATACTGAACCATACCGTTTCCCTTCTTCTATCCACTTCCTATATGATTTGGATGGTGGTGTCAGGGTGTCTAAGACCTTTGTAAGTATTTCCAGAATCTCCATTAGTCGTTCAACAGATACTGGATGTCCCAATTCAACCAATTCCCTTACAAACCTCAAATTCTCCTCTACCATACTTACTGCTGCTAATTGTCTGTCTACTTCTGCTTGAACAATGCTGCTCTTTAAATCGCTTTCTAAACCCAAATATGGTTCTTCTTCGGGTATTATAAGTGGTGGCTGCACCGTATGTGGTTGTACCGTATGTGGGTCTTGTGGTTGTGGTTCACCATATCGTCTACGTAATCCTCCTAATCGAATTGGTTGGCGTGGTTCTTCGGACTCGTTCGTCTCAAGCTTGACATTTATGTTTGTGGGTTCTTTCTTGGGCCTATAAGAGAGGGGTAGGGGTTCTCCCAACTCCAAAGATCTGCGAGACATAAGTTTAGATGCAAAAGTTAACGAAAGTGATTGAGCCTTGTAACACAGTACCCTCACGGTTAGGATTGAGACAACAGCAGTTTGATATCCACGGGCTGCTTTCTGTACAAAGGGCAGGGTTCAGACACAGTAGTAGGAGTTTGGTGGTGATGTTATATGGTGATGATGGTGACGTTAGTACTAAAGAAGCAGTAGTGTGTTTACATTTGTTGATAGTTTGATGGTAGCCGTGCGTATATGCGTGTCGGGCCGAAACCGGTTGTAAAAATCGTGGTACCGATGAGCACAAGTGTAGTACATTCACGGATTGGTTGTAGTATAGCCCATAGTGTCTAATGTGTGGTATTCTATGTCTTGTATTGGAAGGAGGTGTATCTGGTTTAACACCCTGTGTAGTCACGGGCCTGACAGAAGTGTACAACCAATGGATTGCCGGCGATGAGTCGGTCGTATTGACGGAAGCGATGAGAACCAAGTTGGATAACTTGGAACGCATTCGGACGGCCACACAGAGATTGAAAACCGTACGGAACGACGTCAAGGGGAAGCATAGAGTAGAGAGAGAGATGTTGGAGAAAGAAATAGCAAAGCTAACTCTTGAAGGTTCAGAGTCATTATCATCATCATCACCATCATCAACACCCCAACCTGCTGCACAGGCACCACTAGCTGGTCCAATAAAACAATTCAAAAGTCTAGAGTCGAGCATAGCAGCTAGAGGTCCAGATTATGTAAGTCGTCAAGTGCATGGGAAATATGCATTATTCTCGTCCATTCTTTCGCTTAGACAACCGTTCACTTCACAACCAATGCTGACTACTAATGGGTTCATTCTACAGTTCAATGGAGAGTTGTACAATGAAGAATGCTTGGAGTCATGCGATACCAGCTTTATAGCGTCCATGTTAGCTGTGATCCCTTCTGAAGCCCGACAGCAAGGTGTAATTGATCTTTTAAACCGTTTAAAGGGAGAATTTGCTATAAACATAATAGACATTACAGAAGATATTGTATACTTTGGAAGAGACCAGATCGGGAAACGGTCTCTTCTTTATAGGCAAGAGCAAGATAGTCTTTTGATTGGCTCAGTGGCCCACGATAGTAGTTGGACAGAGTGTCAGAATCGGATTTATATTTATGCTAATGGTGTTATTGACAGTCAGCCATATGATAACTACAACAGTCCACTAGATATGGATGTCTCGTTAGACATTATAGAAGAGACTCTTAAAAAAGCTGTTTCAATTAGAACGTCCACTATCCACCCACAGGTGGCCACGCCTTCTACGCTTGCAGTGCTCTTTTCTGGAGGGTTGGATTGTACGGTGCTTGCATATTTATTAGGAAACGAGTTACGGTGCACCAATCACCAAATAGATTTGCTCACTGTTGGTTTTGATAATCCCAGAATAAACCAAACAGCATCTTCTTCACCAGATAGGTTATTAGCTCGGAAGTCTTGGGCCAATTTAAGCAAAATCTTTGCAGAAGACTCTGTTGTCTTTAATCTAGTTGAGATTAACGTTACTTATGCCGAATGGCTAACGCACAAAGAACGAGTCACCCGTTTAATGGCGCCTAATAATACTGAAATGGATCTAAGTATTGCCATAGCCTTCTACTTTGCAAGTAATAGTCGGTACCCCAGTGTCAAGACAACTTTAGTTGGAACTGAAGAACACTGCGTAGAGAATTACAAGAGCACTGCTAAGGTGCTCTTCAGTGGCTTGGGAGCTGATGAACTATTTGCTGGTTATTCTCGTCATGAAGCACTCTTTCTGGATATAGCGGAAGATTCCGAAGATAATAACGTTACTGAAATGTACAAGGCATTACATGCTTCATTGGTACATGATGTTGATGTTATTCACAAACGTAATTTGGGCCGTGATGACAGAGTCATAGCATGTTGGGGGAAAGAAGTTAGATATCCGTATCTTGATCCGGACTTTATATCTGTAGCCATGGCTGTTAATCCCCGGCAAAAGATCACCTATTCTTTCAAAACAGTGGTAACCAAAAAGTGTCTTGAAGGTAAACGAGTTTTGGTGTTGGAAAGAAAGCATATACTTAGACAATTGGCCGGAAGATTGGGGTTGGAATGGGTAAAAGGGGAGTTGAAACGGGCCATTCAATTTGGTGCTAAGAGTGCAAAGTTAGAAGTGGGCCAATCAAAGACAAAAGGAACTGATACTTTATAGATTAAATCAGTCATACAATTGAATAATTCATTACTTCTTACCATTTGAAACCGTTGCCTGGTTATAGAAACTCACCTGTCTTGTTTTTAGTCATTCCTCTGTATCTTACACGTTGTCTTTCTTGTTTAGGATGGTTATAAACAGTCAAGAACTGTTGTTCAATTTTACCCTGAAAGTTGCAACAACTGGTATAGGAGTCGTATTCACTTAAACAAGAAGGAGTGCTCTTTGGAAGATCTGTGTTGCAGTTTATAATGATTCCATTAAAGTTCTCTTTCACAATTGAGCCGCTTTCGATTGATGGATCCTCACTAAAAGCAGTAACGGGGATATTACTCACTAAGGTGGCTTCGCTAACTTGAATAGGTGTTGTGTCTGTTTCCCTGGCTCTAAGTGTTTTTACGACGGCTTCCCCGATTTTAATGGGTGATCTTTCAGTGGGTTCCCTGGCGGTTGTCTCTGTCCTTCCACAAGGTTGAAATGCTTCAATTGCTATCAAGTAAAGTTCGAAAAGAGATTTCATCTCATTAATGGCACATGGGGGGCACCCTTCAAACCCAGTTCCAGTAACAACAGAAACAGCTCTCGTGCATTTAGTAGTGTCATCTTTGGTGACTTCGATTTGGTTTTGGCCATTTTTAGGCACCTTAGTCCCCAGTTTAGCCAGACAATAATCCGGAATTGATTGGATGGTGATAGAGGTGGTCGATGTAGGTACTGCTTCAGGAGTAATTTCTGTTTTGGGTGAACTTTCCAGCTCAAGAAACAGGGCGCTAGGGTTTAGCAAAAAGGAATTGGCCAAGGTTAATTTCTGAGGCGACTCAGGTCCGCCACCGGGAACCTCGGAGTGTTTCTTTTTGATAGTAAGAACCTTATCTCTTATAGATCCTATGTTGAACCGTTGCCTCATAGTATGCTGAATAATTAGCCAAGAGAGTAGTGAGTTATTGAATCTCATTTGTGATTGGTATGCCTCCCCCACTTTTTCGCAGCCATGAATATCCATGTTTTCACTGCACCCGTAAGCATGGAAAGATGGTGTGACGCAGGTGTACATATTAATGTGGGCGCTTTGAAAGAAGTATAATGTACTCTATTGCATACAGTAGTAAGCGTAAGCGAGATATAATTGTTCATATGTACGCAGTGATATATGATAATAAATAATAAATAAGTAATAAGTAATAAATAATAAATAATAATTTGTAATAATAACTAAACCTGGTTTTGTAACTGGTGTACCCATTTGGGCTCAATAACAAGTACTTCTGCCTCTATTAAAATATTCTCCTTTGATTCCACGAATTCGGGATCTTCATCCAAATTAATCCGATAAACAGTGCCCTGAACCCAACACTTACGACCTTCCTTACGCAGTAAACGGCATTTCACCAATACAAAGGTATTGGTAATCACTGGTTGACGATAATTAATGTTCAAATTAGCGGTGACTGCTTTCTTCAGCTTATAATTCTGAAATGCTAATCTGCAAGTCAACTCATCTAATAAAGTTGCAGATAAACCTCCATGAACAATACCATCATGTCCCAGAAGTCCATCACCCAAACGGAAAAAAGTAATGGAATAGTTATCATTAATGTAATCCTCTTCTATAATGGGATGATACTCGAAATGATAAGGATCTATAAAGTACATAGTCAGAGACCTATACCCAATAGTACTTGAACCAGCAAGTGTTTCTGAAGTGAGTGGACATCCCACCTTCTCTTTGACAAACTCATCTGTAGTATAAGATCTTGTCTTGTACTTTGTAGAGTAATGACGAAACACACGGCTTGATTCGAAGTTAGGTTGAAACGTGGAGTCAGCAGTCATAATGGCACAGATATCAGGTATTATAGATAGGTCAGGAATATACGACTCTTGGGAGTGTTTGATGCTATCTGAAGATGCTTTCCCGTCACCCATATATATACACACTTACAAACGAATATATATCCCTGGATCTTATCTTCGGCTATACGGCAACGGGCCTGCAGAGAGAGAGGAGAGAGACTGGAAGAACTCCGATGCAAAAAAATGTACACCACCAAATTAAGCACCAAAATGAACAAAAATTCGCCATTAAAAAATGTTTCTTATGGTTCCTTTTGGAAACGAAGGGAGGTCTTTGGCTGCAAATCCAATGAAAGGGTTGTGGTTATAACGAAGAATGCAATGGTGCGGGGTCAAAATGGAAGTCGGGTAACGGTACTTTTATAAGTTTGTTTATTTACGAGGGTTATTCGAGGGTCCGAGGGTGCATTTTTATACTAAAAGTCGTGTGTGTACCGCGAAGTATTAATTCTTCCCTCCATCGGAAAACAACTAACAAAAATTAAAATTATATTAACAACTAGACCTTCTTCTAAGATTAGCATCGTATAAATATAAATGAGTGATTCTGTCGAAGATAACGTCACCAGAATTGTGGTTGAACCCATAAGCGAAAAAGGTATGTACAGCCGATATGAATACAGTACAGTAGTCCCTGAGTTATATTTCAGTTATACTAACAAACAAAATTATAGTTGATAAAGACACTTTAGAACAATTGTTTGTTCAAAGTGGTCCAATCACCGAGATCCTGATTTACGGTGATGTTGCTTATATCACATTTGAATCAAGTGATGATGCTAAGAGAGCCAGTGAAACACTTTCTGGTTACGATTTAGAAGGTGAACAAATTAATGTAAGATTGAGCCCTGTTGCTTCAGAAGACGCTGGTAACAATGCTTCTGCTGGTAGTGATGATGGTTCTAACCCACCTCCTCCACCACCAGAAGTTACTGACACCAGAGGTCAATTCCGTATTAAGGTTACTAACTTACCTGATGGAACTGCTTGGCAAGATTTTAAGGACTTTGTTAGAGAAAGAACTCTGCTTACTCCTTCATTTGCTAAGGTTTTCCGTAATTATGATACTAATGAAGTTGTTGGTAATCTTGAATTTTCTAGTGAAGACGAATTAACCACTGCTTTACCACTTATTAATGATTCAGAGTTCCAAGGTAATGTATTGGAAGCTATTCATGATACTACTCCTTTCATTCCTCCTCCACCAAGAAGAGGTGGTTTCAGAGGTGGTCGTGGTGGCTACAGAGACGGTGGTTTCAGAGGGGGTTTCAGAGGTGGCCGTGGTGGTTACAGAGATGATGGTGGATTCCGTGGTGGTCGTGGTGGTTTCAGAGGCGGCCGTGGTGGCTACAGAGATGATGGTGGATACCGTGGTGGTCGTGGTGGTTTCAGAGGTGGCCGTGGTGGCTATAGAGATGATGGTGGATACCGTGGTGGCCGTGGTGGTCGTGGAGGCTACAGAGATTCTTACCGTGGAAGAGATGAAGGAAACTATGACAGAGAATCTTACACTAGAGATAGATCTCCTACTAGATACTAATCAAGTGGATATACAATTGGAAGCAAAAGAAGAAAGAAAAGTTGATATATAATTACTGTTTTTTTTATTTTTATTATTAAGAAGAGGATGTTGAAATTTGTATGTTAAGTGTTTATGTGTGTTTACTTATTTGTTGATTAAGACTATTGAAAGAAGATATCAAGAGTGCCAATGGGGGACAATTGATAATTGTAATGACTGTTTGGTGTAAGGGTGTTTTTTTTTTTCCATTTCATCGTGTATTAGTAATGGGTGTAATAATAATTGGGGTTCATTAACGTTAAAGGTTTAATTAATAGAGTATATTACCATGATCAAGCTTTTTGTAGTTAGTTTAATACCGTAAATGTCAGTGCAAGTGTGAATCAGACTGAAAAATCTCACTCTACTTCGGCAGTATACATCAAAGAAAAATCTCGCTCTCACTTACCTTATCTGAACTTATCTTATCTGCATCTTATCTCCTTCCTTTTCTACCATGGTGACTACTACAATTGAGTCCTATGGAGATGACCCTCTTCAGTACGTCAAGACTTTCCACTATGACAGCGACAACCATCACAGAAACATAGTGTTCATTCACGGGGGAGCATGGAGAGACCGGCGCAACACCGTTGATGATTTCGAACTGATGATCAAGTACATCCACTCCAATACACGACAGTTCAATCTCTTTAGCATCAGCTACCGGTTATCCCCTGAGATCAAACATCCATATCATCTTGTTGATGTTATAGAGGCGTTGAAATGGTTGAATTCTCATTATGGGGTGTTAACTACTACCTTAGTGGGCCATTCAGTGGGTGCGACTCTCTGTCTTCAGTTACTTAACTACAAAACGTTATTGGCTGAAGAGGATATCGTTGTCGACACTGAAAAGCTTGATATAAAGCTCAGTAAGATTTTCCTTCTTGATGGGATCTTTGACTTGGTTAAACTTGTTGAAGAATACGGTGCACCATATCAAGAGTTCATTGATGAGGCATTTGAAAGTGAACAACAGTACAAAAGAGCCTTACAATTATCTAATGACAAGTTTAATGTCGTGGGGTATTCTAGAGACTTTGAATCCAGGTTATACATTGTTTATTCTCTTGATGATGAATTACTTTCTCCTAGACAGCATGAATTATTAGTTGATCATTATTTGAAAAAGTTTGGTGTAAGGGTGTCGGTTATTAGTGGTCATTGGGGGTTACATGAACAAATGTATAAAGACGATAGAGTTTCCCAACTTATACTTGATTCAGTAGATACATAAGGGAGGCAATAGACAGCAATATTTGCTAAATGTATATTTTTTATGTCACGTGATTTTGCGGTAGCGCGCCCAATGTGAAAAATTTTCAAGAGTATATCTAATACAAATGAATAAAAACCCTTACAAACGCTTCTATCGTCAAATATAAACAGAATAACATAACCATGTCATCGGGAATAAGCTCGTGGGCCGATGCTGCAGATGATGTTCCAGGCACAGTTGTGACCTCCAACGCTGATGGAACCAAGACTGTGGTTTCGTATAGAAATAATGAAGGCAAATTGGAAAAGATAACTCAAATCATTAAGGAAGTTAAAGTAACAGAAAAGGTACATCCCTTAGTAGCACAACGGAGAAAATGGATCAAGTATGGTAAGGAAAGAAATACTCCTCCAGGACCTGATACCAGAACCACACAATTGGGAGAAAAGATTGAATTGAAATTAGGAACAGCTTGGAAGGAACAAGAGAAGGAAGAAGAAGCATTAAGAGCTCAAGAAGCTGCCAATATTGTTTCTGATCAAAGAATCAAATGTAGATCATGTGGGGGTGCTCATTTCACTTCTAAATGTCCTTATAAAGATACATTGGGACCTGCTACACCTGCTGAAGCCCAAGGAGCTAGTGGTATACCAGAAGATGATGGAGCTAATGGTCCAGGTAAATATGTTCCAAGACATATGAGACGAGATGCTAATGGTAATTTACCACCAAAGGATATGAGTAGAGATGATGCTTGTACTTTGAAGGTTACACAATTGAATTCTATTGTTGATGAAACTATGTTAAGAAGTGAATTGTTTGCTAAGTATGCTCCATTAGCTCGTGTTACTGTGGTTAGAAATAAGGAAACCGGTGAATCTAGAGGTATTGCTTACGTTACATTCGCAACAGAATCTTTAGCCGAAAGAGCTTTGGAAGAATTGAATGGTAAGGGTTATTATTCCTTGATTTTACGTTTGGAATGGTCCAAAAAGAAGAAGACTTGAACTTTGCATCAATAACTGTATTTTAGATATAATAAATAACTGTATAGAACATACAGAACATATCCGCACCTAACACAGTGTAGATCACACTTTTTGAACCCAGCATAGAACTATACTTATCAAACACATTTATCAGCATAGAACAAAATTATCAGTACATAATCAGTGCATAGTACATGCATAACATATAAATCCATACACACGCAATCATCATTTGTTGCATTAATCCGTTGTATGCGTAATCGTCAGTCTCAACCGTACTATTAAGACCGATCGGTTAAAAGTTGAGAAAATCTCCCTCACTATAGTTGCTCTTTTCTCCACCATCACTATTGACATCGCCACAGACTGTCGGCTGCATCATATAAACTGATACTACCGCTGGTATAAGTTTACCTTTAGACTACTACTGTACGTTGTACGTTAGTGCTATACTATGGCCAAGGCTAGTCGTAAAGGTGACGCCGGCTCGCCCGGCAAGAAACCAGGGTTTCTCTCTAAGCTTCTAGGCCTGAAAACAAGATCAAACTCCGTATCAAGCAATAGTAACGACGGTAAGTCCAAACTATCAACATCAACAGCCGAGTCCAACGATTCAACGGTGGGTTCTTCCGCTACGTTAGCCAAAGTGGCCAGTTCCACCGTTCCAGAAACCGATTCTGGCTTAACTCCAAGTATTCTGTTGGAACCTGAAGAAACTCGGAAATCCGCTTTAGACCCTAATAAGACCACTACCCCCACGTTATTCAAATCCAAATCACCAGCATCATCTTCAATGGTAAGTAGAAGAAACAGTCAGAGCCAGCATAATAATCATCATCATTTGGACTTCAAATTGAAGAAGAACTTATTCCGGAGAGGACTGGAATCCAGTCCTTCAAATGATAAAAATCGTCATAGCTCCTATATCGACGATGATACTGATGACATGTATGATGAAGATACAAACACTTCAGATGACAATTCGTCGTTTGCGTCGACTGTTTCTCGTACGAACTCATCTATTTCCCTGACCAGTATAGTTGACCAGAAGATTAGCATGCAAATGAGCTCAAAAGACGATTCCACTTGGTCGGGATTGTCTTATGAATCCCTCTTGTTCCCGAGATACATCAAAGGTCATAGAAGGAGTAAGCATAGTCCACGTCAGTTCAAACGACTCTTTCTAGCACAAGAATTGAAAGCAGATGCAAATAAACCATCTGAAGCTGTCGATGTCGATGATATATTGAGCAAAACAAGCTCTAAAGATGCTGATAATTCCGCTATGCCCAATAATAATAATAGTAATAATAAGGATAATAAGGATATAGTTGGTGATCAAACACTAGGTGAAAATGAGCAGCATGAAGTCTTCATCATGAAGTTTAGTACCGACGGTAACTATCTTGCAACTGCTGGTAGAGATGCGGTGGTTCGAATCTGGAAAGTTATATCGTCTCCCTTGGGTCGACTTGAATATCAAGCCGAACAAAAAGAAAAGGAAAAGGAGACAGCATCTGCAAATGGTAGTAATGGCATGAAGTCTGGCAAGAAGTCTAAAACTGGTCAAATTTTTCCGTATGCTCCAGTGTTTAGGGAACGTCCAATAAGAGAATTCAAAGGTCATACAAAGGGAGTCTTAACTTTGGATTGGAGTAAGAATAATTTCTTAGTCTCGGGTAGTATGGATAAAACTGCAAGGCTTTGGCACGTTGATCGGTTGGATTGTTTGGAGGTGTTTGAACATGATGATTTCGTCACATCAGTTAGATTTCATCCTACTGATGATCGTTTCTTTCTTAGTGGGTCTTTGGATAATGAAGTCAGATTATGGTCAATATTGGAACGAAACGTTGCCTATTCGAGAAACTTGGGAAGCGATGTTTTAATAACGACCTCTGAATTCACTCCCGATGGATCGTATTGTTTGGTTGGGGGGTTTAATGGTTGTGTATTTGCTTTAGAAACAAAAGGTTTGCATGTTTCAAATACTTTTGTTATTAAATCCAGAAGCTTTGTCAATTTCCATACCCGTTCTTATAAGATTACTGGGATTGAAATTTTTGATAATGTTCAAGCAAAAGCCCATGATGATCCATTAACACGTTATAACATTTTAGTAAGCACCAATGATTCCAAAATCAGATTGCTTAGCTCTTCCCTGAAAACATTGATAACACGATTCAAAGGGTTATCTAATCAAGGCTCATCAATTGCGGCCTCTATGTCAGAAGATAGAAAGTATGTGGTCTCTGGTTCCGAAGATTCTTGGGTTTATATATGGGAAAACTCCAACTCCATCGTCACAAACCGTGTTAAGCTGACCATAAGAGAAATATTAACCAATAACAATGAGTCAGCGAGGGAAAAGATTAATAAACATTATCATGGAACCTTTATGAGAAGTGCCAAATCACTTGCAGGCAAGAAAATGGTTCGAAAATTGAAATTGCCCAATTTAATTGAAAACAGTGGTGAATCCTATGTGGCCAATGAGAACAGTAGTTATTATACATTCCATGCCCATACTTCTCGGGTTAATTGTGCCATTTTTGCTCCCTCTACCACTCAAAAGTTGCTTCAGGTTTCCGATGATATGTTGTACGACTTAGTTCGTCGTGCTAAACAATGCTCTGAATCCTCATATCATAAAATGAAAGTCGACACTGAAAAATTATCCATTGAAAAGGGTTACATTATTATCACCACTGATAATAAAGGTTTGATAAGAGTCTTCAGACAAGACGTTGCTTATCCAGTAAGAAATACTTTGAGACAAATGCTTAGGAAAACCGAAACAGATATGGATTCCTTGACTTGTCGATCTATTATTAAATCAAAGCAATCAAGACCTTCAAGAAACTTGAGTCCTTCAATGTTGCGTTTGAAAACTAGAAATGGTAGTTCCAATTCCTTGGTTGTGAAAGAAGATGTTCAATCTCCAATAAGATCTCCAGTACGTCAAAGTTCCTTTAGAGAAAAAGTGTATCCATTTCTGAAATGTGATTCAAAATCTAAAATAGAAAGAAGCTTATCGCCTTTGGGCACTCCACAAACTCTTCACGATAGTGCATTCCATTACCAACAACTAAATAATGAGGCCTTGCATTCCACATTTCAAAACTTAAAGTTAGAGCCTACTGGTAGGAGCAGAGGAAGAGAAATGCATTAGGTTTATCCTCCATATTAAATTTTATGTAAATATTCTTTTTTTTTCAACTTGCAACAGCGTCCACTGGATATGAAGTTTCCATTTCTTCATTGCTTGTCAAGCTTACTTCTGTATTGGACGCCATTTTCTTCAATTCTTCATTCTTCAGGGTAATAATTTTATGATAAACACTACCCAATTTTTCACTATTCAATTTCAATCTTTGAAAGACAAAGTCATTCAACATCGACAACTTCATGAGTTTGAAAATATGAAATATGTAAACACAAAACTCTTGTTCACATTCCCATTGAAGATCACTTTTCCGTTTCCTAACCTCAATTTGTTTGGCTCTAGATTTTTCACGGCGTACTGTTTCATTCTTTTCATTTTCAAACTGTTCTTCAGAGAACTGGGGAACAGGAACGATAATTAAATCGTAAAACAGTATACCTTCTTCAATAGATCGGTCAAGGTCAATGTTATTGATTTTGGAAATCTTGTATTCGTGATAAAGTGCAACACTCAATATACTCCGTTGAGTTTCAATTGGAAGGTATCCTTGTATGTATTTGTGGATTTCATTATTGTCCAATATATTAACAACTGAAGACTGCAAATCTTTTGCTCTTAAATAAAAAACTTTCAATAAACTTAATACATCCATAAGTCTAACTGAAATAACTTCTTTCAACTTAAACGCAGCTTCCAATGAATTCGAAGCGTCAGTTTCATCTTCAATAGAATCGTTGATTCTTTCCATAACAATTTCAAGATCCTCCAATAACGTAGTCAATCTCTTAATCATAGCACGTTGGGTATCAGCAATATTACGAACTTCGTCTCTTGTAAGGTTGCTTAACTCTTTACTCTCAATACTGGACAACTTATCAAATGTTTTCTCTAGTTGCCAGGATAAGAATGTGATATTGAACTCAAGTGCAACCCCAAGCCACTTTGAAAAGCTTATTGAAATTGGCATAAACTCGTCATGTAATCTACCAAACATAGCAATAAAATCGATCTTGAAAAGGACGTTAAATGTCAATAATGTACTCACAGAAGGATCACGTTGTTCTAGGACTTCCTCAAAAGCAGCATGGTTCAGAATACTTTGTAATTTTAACAAAGGTGACAGTATATCTTCCAACATTGAGATTAGTTGTCGTTGTAACATTTTCTCGTCATCAAGTTCTTCATCATCATTTTCAATAGTTGTTGTTGGTTCTTGAGGATTCTCTAACAAGTTTGAAATTCCATACATGAGATCTTTAACAAGATCTTGAATTGAGATTCGTAATGATGGAGTAAGAGTATTTATCACGGCAGAGATCGAATTGTTGTCATAATTTTCTAGAATAATGAAAAAATATTTGTTGAACTCTTGAATGATAATGTTAGAACTTTCCATTGCTCCATTCTCAAAAATATAATAGTAACGAAGGAGACTTTCCGAAATCTCATTATACTCTTCTAGGTTATCCAAGCTCTTGTACATCAGATAAAAGTTGAAATCTGGATCGGGATTGCTTAACCCTAAATTCCAAATGTTAACAAAGATTTGAACTCTAGCCTCAGAAACCATCAGAAACTTTTGCAATTTTGAAAGATATTGGACCATTTTTATGACATTCTTAGTTGCATCTTCTTTGTCTCTTGCTTTGAACTTGCCTTGCAAGAAATGAATTAGCAGGCCATGAGCACAGCTAAATAAGTATGTCTTATCTGTTTCATCATGAAGGTCCAAGGAAGTGGTAAGCTCTTCTAGTTGAGATGAGTCAGCTTCATAGGTAGTAGAACTGGTAGTGAAAACGATTTTGGAAGTATCCAAAAGAAGGTAATTGATTAGAAACTCCCAAGAACCTTGGTAAAGTGGTAATTTCTGAAGCATGGTAAATATAGTTGCAATTGGGAACTTGGTTTCGATTGAACTGTCAGGTTCTTCAGAAAAGTAATACTCCATACTCTGCCTCAAAATTCTTATGAGCTCACTATATTTAATGCAACTCTGTAAACTAATTTTCCCATCTTCTGAAATGCCAGTTGAATCAGGATCATTTTCAAACTCTTCAGAATTGTAATTTTCAATAATAGTAGAATATTTTTCCAATTTTATGGTTGCTTGTTCTTCATTCCATATTGAAATAAATTTACAAACTTCATTTTTCAACTTTTCAACATTTGAAGGAGATAAATAAATGGATTTCCCACCATCTATTATATACAACAATCCAGACACTATCATAAGATTATCTTGCTCATTCAAAAATCCTATTTTCAACAATTCACAGCAAATGCTTGTAGCATGGATTCTTACTGTAAGGTCACCATCCAAGAGACTTGTTTTAATAAGCTGTAACTTATATCTCTGCGTAAATTGACTTACACCGTTAGTTATTGTCATTTGTCCTTGAGAAAACTTTTTGTAGATTTTAAGAAGCATTCTGGTTAATTCAGCTTTAACATTACCTGAAGGATCAGCTAAAAGCCAACCAAAATATCTCAAGTATACGGGTTGCAAAAAAAAATCGGGATATTCCAACATACATTCCCCTAGCAGTTTGATGCATTCATGTCTAATCGAATCATCGATATCTCTGTAACGATGAACAAGGCATGCAGAAACAATATCTTTCAAATACAAAGTAATGGCATCCTTTTGACGTTGTGAAGTTTTAATTGCTTGTGAAATTGCTTTGGCTTTAGCTTTTTGGGTCTTTTTAATCTTGGAAAGTTGCTTTTGAGCCTTTTCCAAACTATCAATGACATTATTTATAATAATTGATAATCTAGTGAGGATTCTAAGTAAGATAGTTGTTGAAATACATCTTAATGGTCTTACTGTACAAGAATTCAAGCCAGAAATCCATATTAATAAGCTTTCCATCATTGGAGAGTATTTATCATCATCATTTTCACCTTCATCATATTGATACAACATCCCATTTTCATGTCCAGTAACTATTATTTGATTGAATAGTTCAATGACATTGTTCCTAAAAATGGGGATCAACTTAAAGGGATATTTATGTTTGCCTTGACCACTAAATTTCCCCACAAGTTTATCAATGACATCAGTCGAGCTATCAAGATCATCCATTTCCTTAGGAGTGAACAAATAAAGCGAACCACCTGATCGTAATACAAGATTTAAGATATCGGCCATCGCAGTATTGGGGTCATCTTCGAAAGCGCTAAGCCACGAAAGAGCCAACTCGTTGATATCTACTTCGGGAGAAGCAAGTTGAATGTAGTATGTATTTTCTTTTAAGTTGAGTTCTCTTTCTTCTAAGGTTGGAGATTTTCTGCGTCTCTTACTGGCTGATTCCTTAGTAGCCGCCTTACGACCACGTGGTCTCTTCCTGATCTCGAGGTATTCATCGTCATCATCTTCGTCGTCATCGTCGTCTTCTTGGCCGTCTTCTTCATCTTCATTATTGTCATTATCTGATGTGACGTGTAACATTTCATCGACAATCACGTCTTCATCATCATCGGAGTCAGCTTCAAGATAACTAACCGCCTTATTGGCGGTCCTGCTAGAGCGTCTAACACTCACAACCATACTGGGACGTCTATAAGTGTGTTTGTAGCGGTAGCAGAAGAAGAATATGTGTAAACGTGATGAATATGTGACGCGTAAGTTTGGGTTGTAGTGGTTGCGAAACGGTACCAAGGTTGACGACATTTCGATTTTTTTTGAGATCGCGTAATGTCGCACCAGATTTACGACATTTGTTGATTTTTCAAACTCACTGAGGAAAAAAAATAAACCCATGTGCTTCCAACAAGATAAACAAACCTTTATTTCCAATTGTACATTTTCTATCTTCAACTACAGTGGCAGTCACGTGGTTTGGACGAAAGGGAAACTGTTGATTCTTCCTTACTACAAGATTTGCGTTGGTTGATTAGCTGCCGTAACAGTTGGAAACGAGCTTAGAACAACATTACAAGCTGTGTAACACAAGCTTCAGTATGTCGAATACTAAAGATAATGAGCTGTCTACTAGTAACGGAGAAGTTACTGGAGACATTCCTGCAGTAGTGGACTCTAAAGAGGACATCAAGGCAGAGGATGCCAAGGCAGAGGAGTCCAACGAAGGAGCAGATGCTGTGACGCAAACGGAAGTCAAAGCCGAAGGAGCAGTTGACACTTCAAAGGAAGTTGAAGCAGAAGCCAAGTCTGTTGATGTTGAAAAATTAAAGGACTCCTTTCAAGAGAAGGCCAAAATGTATTTGGCTGATCAAACTCAACCAGTTGTGATTCCATCGTTTGCCAAATGGTTCGATATGAATGGCATTCACCAAATTGAACATAAGCTGTTCCCAGACTTTTTCCCTTCGAAGCAAGAAATCCAAGCAGGTGCTATCAGATCACAGTATAAGACTCCAGAAGTTTACAGAAACATAAGAGACTTTATCATCAATGCTTACAGATTAAATCCGGTTGAGTATTTGACCATTACGGCTGTTAGAAGAAATGTCAGTGGGGACGTTGCTAGCATAATAAGAATACATCAATTTTTGGAAAAATGGGGTTTGATAAACTATCAAGTTGATCCTCGTACTAAATCATCTGTTACTGGTCCAAGTTATACTGGACATTTTCAAGTACATTTGGATTCCCCTAAAGGTTTAGTGCCTTTTGTTGAAAATGCAAAGCAATTAAAGCATAAGACCTCCACTGTTACTACTACTACCATTACAGAGTCTTCTCGAGCAAAGGACAAGCCATCATCAATAACTTTAGATTCGAAGGAAACAATCATGCCTTTGAATTTGGCACTTAAAACAAATGTTTATGCCACTAATGAAATTGAAAAATCATCTCCTGGGGTGGTTCAATATTTCTGTAATGTTTGTGGTAAAGATTCCTCAAGTATACGGTATCATAATTTGAAATCTAAAACCATGGGAGCAAATTCTTCGGTCAATAATGCACATGTTTTGTGTGAAACGTGTTTTGATCAAGGATTATTCCCTGCGACATTTACCTCAAGTGATTTCATCAAGATGAAGGACACACAAACAACTGATAGTTCTGTGTGGAATGAGCAAGAGATTTTATATCTTTTAGAAGGTATCGAGTTGTTTTGTTCAACAGATTATAATGATAGTGGCAGTGTTCCATTGGTACAAGAGAATAGTAATGGTCAATGGGATAAGATCAGTGAGCATGTAGGAACCAAGACACGGGAACAATGTGTATTGAAGTTTTTACAGTTGCCTATTGAAGATCGTTACTTGAATAAGCTTTTACTGAAGCCAAAGGTAGCCAATAACTCTACATCCACCAACACTGAATTATTAATACCCAAGATTGCTGAGGAATTAATTAAAAGAGAAGAAGGTAAGAAGCTTTTTGAAGCTAATGGTAATGCAGCTAAAGAACTGGCTGCACAAGAACAAAATGAATTGATATCTCAAATCATACTGTTGACTCTAGATAAAGTGGAATTGAAAATGAAACATGTGGAAGCAATGGAAGCCAATATGATGAAAATACATCAACAATTGGATTTAGAAAGAACTCAAATACTAATGGAGCGTGTGGAAAGATCTAAAAAAGTTGCTGCATTGAAACAAGCTCATCCTGAACTTGGTGAAGAACTTGATGACCTTCTTAGACCAATAGAACTTGTTGAGGTAAGACAAGTTTTGAATAGTTTGAAATTTAACAAGAGCAACTCAATGGAAGTTGATGAGACTGCAAATGGATCTAAGGTTGACTTGAATGGTATTGGAATGCCAGTGAGTGTTACACAGCCTAAGGCCTACCAATTCTGGTCTGGTTAATTCAAATTATGCATTTTGTTTTGCTTGAATTTTTCTTATTGAAGCCATTTACCTAAGTTAAAAAGCAGTGTATATGAAAATCCATAGGTAGCACTTTTCTTGGTCCGAAGTAGGCATATGCATCCTCCTGCACGATAGCCGTGCATTCACCCACCCGTAGTGCATACAGGGTTTATTATTCTTGTACAATTGACGGGATCGGTCAAGCCTTTGATTGGACAGTTTTGAATATGCTTAGGGAGGTGTTAGGTTGGTAGCCTTGAGAGCATGTTTTTGTCAATAACAAAGACCACATATGGATTGCGATATGTAGCAAATGTATGAATATGTTGAATATTAATCATTAGAAAAATAGGTTTCCACCTATCGATCTTGAGAATGCACGAGCCACGGCATGCAGGTGAACAATTTTGTTGGTGATAGTGCTCATCACCATCACAGTCAAAGTTGCAGCTGCAGCTAATTCTTTGAAATACAAGCTACTATGTTAAAATTTATTTCACTGTCATGTAATGCAATGCACAATAATTGTAATTTAGTGATAAAAAATACATACAAGGCTACTTTAAGCACTATGAGAACCATGGTACCGTCTATCAAGTAACTAAATAGTAGTGCTGTGTACATTTGTATCGGATTCAGAAACCCGTGTTGTTGCTACCATGGTCCAAAAGGTCCATAAGGACGAATCTACATTTGGAGAATAACATACTTTCACCCGTAATTGTCCAATGGCATGTGTGTATATGTCCTGCATGGTTAGTACCCCTTGTCCATGTTCGGCATATGTGTTGCAGAGATTAATCAGATAAAAATTATTACTGAAAATTTTCCTTCACATATAAATAGCCGTGGCTGTCCCCCAGTTTAAGTTGGTTATTTTTCTTTTTGCTCCTTACAAGTCTCCCTCTTAAATTTTAGGACAAAATGGCTAATAAAGTCTTTAACGTCCAAATTTTCTTTGTCGTATTCAGAGAATCGTTGGAAGCAGTCATCATCGTGTCTGTGCTTTTAGCATTCTTAAAGCAAGGACTTGGTGGTCCAACACAAGATAGGGAAGTTTATAAAAAGTTAGTTAAACAAGTTTGGTTTGGTGCTATCGGTGGGTTTATTCTTTGTTTAATTCTTGGTTGTGCTTTTATTGGTGCTTTCTATTCCTTGAAGAATGACGTTTGGGGTAAATCTGAAGATATTTGGGAAGGTGTATTCTGTATTATTGCTACTGTTATGATTTCCATTATGGGTATTGCCATGTTGAGAGTCAACAAGATGCAAGAGAAGTGGAGAATTAAGTTGGCCCAAGCCATTCTTAAGGATAAGCCGGAAAATGGTAGTAGAATTGGGCATTGGGCTAAGAAATATGCTATGTTTATCTTACCTTTTATTACTGTTTTAAGAGAAGGTTTGGAAGCCATTGTTTTCGTTGGTGGAGTTGGTTTAACTTCTCCTGCTTCTTCCTTCCCATTGCCAGTTTTCGTTGGTTTGCTTTGTGGTATCGCTGTGGGTTTCATTTTGTATTACTCTGGTTCTACCACCTCTTTACAAGTGTTTTTGGTTATTTCAACTTGTATCTTGTATTTGATTGCCGCTGGCTTATTCTCCAGAGGTGTTTGGTTCTTTGAAAACAATGCCTTCAACAAGAAAACTGGTGGTGATGCTTCTGAAAACGGTTCAGGGCCTGGTTCTTATGACATCTCTAAATCTGTTTGGCACGTTAACTGTTGCAATCCTCAAATTGACAATGGTTGGGATATTTTCAATGCTATTCTTGGGTGGCAGAACTCTGCCACTTATGGCTCAGTTATCTCCTACAATGTGTATTGGATTGCAGTCATTGTTGTATTGTTTTTGATGCTCTACGAAGAACAACACGGACACTTGCCTTTCACCAAGAACTTTAGATTAAGAAACCTAAACCCATCGTACTACTTGAAGGGTAAGAAGAAGGAAGAATTGAACGAGCATCAAAAGGAAGTATTGTTTGATGAAATTAAGAACAAGAAGTTTGGTTCAACTGTTAGTGAAAACTCTGTGGTTCCAGAAAGACAAAGTTTGACTGAAAACAGAGCCGATTAATTTGCTTCTTAGCTGATACACTATTATTTTATACACACACACACATACAGGTGTACCTTTATTGGTCCGCCTATAACAGTGTATCAGCTAAGAAACGATTAGGGATAAACCATTTTTGCCTTGATTTGAGGGAGTCGAGTCATTTATGCCGTTTTTATATTATAGGGTTATTTTTTTAGTTATTTAGACTCTGGGTAATAGTCTAGTCAAAGAAGAGAAGATTGTAGTTCTTGTAATATCCTGCATTGGCAATTGGTACGGCTACGACCAGTTCAGACCCGAGACCGGTTCCGGTATATCTGTGTTATGAACGTATATAAAGCTACCCAACAGCACGTAGTACTTGATTTAACTTGGGTTTAATAATAATCGTGTTAAAAAATGTCTTTAAAATATATTGATACTGCAAGGAAGATTCTCTGCATTGGTCGTAATTATGCAGCACACATTCAAGAATTGAACAATGCTACACCACTGCAACCATTTTTCTTTTTGAAGCCTTCATCATCGGTATTAAAACCCAATGATGGTCCGTTTCTTGTTCCTAAAGGAGTTGTTGTTCATCATGAAGTTGAGTTGGCCTTTACGTTAAACAAAACATTGAAAAACTTACCTTCCACTTTTTCTGCAGAAGAAGCCTTGGATTGCATCGAAGGTTATGCACTTACCATTGATATGACTGCAAGGAATGTTCAAGATGAAGCAAAGAAGAAGGGATTACCTTGGTCTATTGGTAAAGGGTTTGATACCTTCTTGCCTGTTTCCAACTTTATTGCTAAGAATCGTATACCTGACCCTTATAATGCTGAGTTGATCTTGAAGATTAATGGTGAGGTGAAGCAACAAGATAAGACTAATTTAATGATCTTCCCTATTCATAAAATCTTGAGTCACATGTCTGCCATTATGACCTTAGAAAAGGGTGACTTGATCTTGACAGGTACACCCAAGGGAGTTGGGGCTGTTTGTCCTGGAGATAAGATTGAGGCTTATATCAAGGTTGGTAATGAAGTCATTGAGTCAATTGTTGTTGATGCGGAACAGAAACCAGGTCCTTATTCATATAAAGAAATATAGTCTACAATTGTATAATTAGATCGTTAAACAAATACTCCATCCATGGGAGCTTGGAATTGTCGAAGTATAATGCCTGCTTCACTCATGACTTTATGACTCAAATCATCCATTGAATAACTTTGAGCATAGATGACTTCCTTAATGCCACTTTGAATGATTTTAATAGAGCAGGTTAGGCAAGGACAAGTATTACAATATAGAACACTCTGATTACTTATACGATCTCTTCCTGCTTCTAATAGAGCATTCTCTTCAGCATGCAAACACAAACAGGTGGAAAGACCCGTTCCAGAACCTTCGGCACTGTTGCATCGAATACATCCTCCTTCATTGCAATTGGTTAGATGTCTGGGTGTTCCATTGTATCCAGTAGCCACTACTCTATTATCTCTAACAATAACACACCCAACTCTTCTCTTCATACAATTAGATCTCAATGCAGCCAAGTCGGCCAACTGCATAAAGTATGAGTCCCAAGTGGGTCGCAACCGTTCCTTATTCAATAGGTCTAACTCTTCCAACTTCACAAAGAGATCCTTGACTGATTCGGAAGTGTTGATGATCTTAACTTGTGCCAGGTTACAAACTTCAACCAAGCGTTCCTTATACAACAATTGGTCGCTCTTGATAGCAAAATCTTCAAGAGAAATGTCGGGAAAAGTTGTGTTCTTAGTTCTATATCTATTCAACCTTAAAGTCATCGGAGCATCAACAGATACATGAAGTACAAATGGTCTTTTGCATAATATCTGCATCATCTCCACGTCAGATACATGACTTACCACGTAATTCTCCCGCCAATGAACAGTCACAAATGCTAAGAGTTGTTCTAGACCATTGAACAGTTGATGTACCAATAAATCTGAACCTCTATTGTCGATGTGGTTACTATTTTTGGTGTATTCTAGTAACTTAAACCCCCGGAACGTAAGGTACCGTGCAACCTCAGTCTTTCCCGCACTAAGAGTACCGGAGATAAGAATCAACATAATCGATAGGTAATTGTAATGAATAGTTTAAGCTTCAACGGGATTCACTTAATAATTGCATGCTTAATTCTGCAAGTCAAGTGCTTTGTCACGTGACTTCGGTGAAATAAATCATATATATTTTCCGGGGTTGACTTCAGCAATATTGTATAGAATAAGTAGTTACTCTCATTCTATTGTCACAATTGATAGACTCAGAATGACAACTCGATATGGCTGGTTTAATTGGCGGCAGCTAATATGGTTTCTAATATTTATGGTGTGCGGGGCTGTTGCACATATTCATGAAGACAAGAAGTCGTCTTTATTGGGGGGTGGTGACCTGTCACTTCAACATGAACTTGGATATTGCGCTATGTATGGAGACTGTGGAAAACAAAGTATGTTCGCTAGTAGCTTGCCGTGTTCGAACTATACTAAAGCACAAAAGCCATCGAAGGAATTGACCGACTTGCTACACAAGGTTTGTGGAGACGACTTTGCTGTTGAAGACGGAGTATGTTGTACAATACAACAAGCTGAGAATTTAGAATCAAACTTGAAGCGAGTGGTTCCCTTGATCAGCTCGTGTCCTGCGTGTCATAGGAACTTTTTCGACTTCTTTTGTAAGTTTACCTGTTCGCCCAATCAGGCTTCGTTTATCGACGTTGTGGGGACTGCTGAGTCCATTGATACCAAGCAACAAATAGTTACGGAATTAAACCAATATGTTTCTGAAGACACAGCGCAGGCCTTCTATGATTCATGTAAGGAGATCAAGTTCCTGGCAACAAATGGATATGCTATGGACCTTATAGGAGGTGGAGCAAAGAACTATGAAGAGTTCTTGAAGTTTATCGGAGATAAGAAACCGCTACTTGGCGGTTCACCCTTTCAAATTAACTTTAGGTATAATTTGACCTCAGAAGAAGCTGATGAAGGTTTATCATTGCGTGAAGATTCAATGAAACCTTGTAATGATCCAGATTATAAATGTGCTTGTAGTGATTGTGAAAGCTCATGTCCCCAATTGCCTGGGTTCAAGAATTTTCATCAGAAATGTACTGTTGGAGCAATTCCCTGTTTTTCCTTCTTTATCTTGATGTTATGGTTGTGTTTTATAGTTTTACTTGGAGGTTTCCATATATATATGGCTCAACAACGCAAAGAGTATGATCGGTTGAATTCCATTGGTGGGTTTGATGACGATGAGTCTGTCATTATGAACCCCAGAAGATATAGCTATGTTTTGTTACCGAAGAAGAACCTGGTCAAAGAAAAGTTGACTGAAATCCAAAGGAATTTGATAATTAAAATTGAAACCTTCTTTGGTAAAGTTGGTTATAATTGTGCCATGGCCCCAAGACTCACTCTTTTGACTTCCCTTGGAATAACCTTGATACTTTCTTTGGGGTTAATGAGTTTAAATTTTGAAACCAATCCTGTTGGATTATGGGTTAGTCCCAATGAAAAGGCATTACATGAGAAACAATATTTTGAAGAGAACTTTGGAGAATGGTATAGAATTGAACAATTGATTGTCAGTACAAAGAACGATACTCCTGTTTTAACTTGGGATACACTTCAATGGTGGTTTGCTAAAGAATTGGAGCTTAATGAACTTAATGGTGTTGCATTAGATGATTTATGTTTCAAACCTTTAGGAGATACTTGTGCTATTGAATCATTTACTCAATATTTTGATGGAAATATCGATTATCTTTCTGAAGCCAATTGGAAACAAAAATTAGTTGGATGTACCAGTTCTCCAGTTACTTGTTTGCCCAGTTTCCAACAGCCTCTTCCCAAGAACTTATTGTTTGACCGAGACAATGTCTTGGATGCCAGAGCTTTTATTGTTACAGTTTTGGTTAACAGCTACTCAGATGATGTGGATTATACGAATTCAGCCGTAAATTACGAACACGGTTTTATTGCTTGGGTCAGAAATATCAGAACAGAAATGCCTCATTTGAATATTGCCTTTAGTGCAGAAGTTTCTCTTGAAGAAGAATTGAGTCAACTGGCAAACTCAGACGTTCGTATTATAATTGTGTCGTATTTGTTCATGTTCATTTATGCTTCAATTGCATTAGGTGGGAAATTACCTACAAGTTTGGAAACGTTACGTCTGAGTCGATTTGTTCTTGGATTAGCAGGGATCTTTATTATTATCTTGTCAGTATCTGCATCTGCAGGTTTCTTTGCGATAATTGGATTGAAATCAACTTTAATTATTGCAGAGGTTATCCCCTTCTTAGTGCTTGCTATTGGTATTGATAATGTGTTTCTTATCGTTCATGAATTAAAGCTTGTAACTCTATTAATTCCCAATGACCCAATACCACATAGAATTTATTCCACATTAAGTAATGTGGGTCCATCGTGTTTCCTTAGTGCCATTTTGCAAGTGCTTATGTTTTTATTGGCAACCAGTGTTCAAATGCCAGCTGTTAAGAACTTTGCATATTACAGTGCTGGTGCTGTATTTGTTAACTTCTTGTTACAAATGACGGCCTTTATTTCTCTCTTAAGTTTGGATACATATAGATTGGAAAATGGAAGTTTCTCATTGTTTGGTGAAAGAAGAATTGCTCTAACAGAGGACTCGGAATCATCTGAGTCGCCATCGGCTTCTGCATCGACTTCAGCTTCACCATCAGCTAGTGGATCGGCTTCAGCTTCGGCATCGGCTTCAGCTTCGGCATCGGCTTCAGCTTCGGGTTCGGTTTTCGAATCATACATTAACGGAACTTCACAGCTCAATGAACAACACCAAGAAATTTGCAAGACTTCTCGTAAAGGATTTGTTCAAAAGTTCATTGCTACAACATATGGGCCTTGGTTATTAAAAAGTAGTAACAGAAAGAAAATTCTTACATTCTTTGTCATGTGGCTTGGAATATCGCTTGCACTTTTACCTCAAATTGAACTCGGATTAGATCAACGTCTTGCAGTGCCCAATGGATCTTATTTGATCAATTATTTCAATTCTGTTTACGAATATTTGAACGTGGGACCTCCAGTGTTCTTTGTTGTTCGAGATTTCAACGTAACCGACAGATCAAATCAACAGATGCTTTGTGGGAAGTTCCCTAGCTGTGAAGAGTTCTCGCTTTCTAATATACTTCAGGAAGAATATGAACGTCTGGAACAATCATTTATTTCCCAACCTATTTCCAATTGGCTTGATGATTTCTTAAACTATTTGAATCCTGATTTGGATGAATGTTGTCGAGTTAAGAAACTTGCTCAAGACGAATTTTGTCTTCCTCATCTGCCTTCAAGACAATGTCAAGCATGCTTTGCTGATAAGCCATTTGATACTTCCAAAATGGAAGGGTTCCCTCAGGGTAAAGAGTTTATGAACTATTTTAAGCATTGGATCACAGAACCAAGTGACCCTTGTCCATTGGGAGGGAAAGCACCATACTCTTCCAGTATTCAATACAATGATACAACCATTGAAACGTCATATTTCCGTTCAGCCCATGTTCCACTTCGATCTCAAAATGATTTTATTGTTGCTCTAAAGAATGCCAAGCGGATCATCAAAGAAATCAAGGAATACTTACCCCAATTGGAGATCTTTGCATTTTCACCATTCTACGTTTTTTTTGTTCAATACGAAAACATCTTAAGCTTGTTGTTCACTCTTATGGGTGCAGCCATAGTGGTGATTTGGTTAGTTAGTGCTTTACTTTTGGGAACTTACATTAATGCTTCAATATTGGTGATAACCGTGATATCCATATTGGTAGATATAGCAGGCATCATGGCAGTTTGGAACATCTCTTTGAATGCTGTTAGTCTTGTTAACTTGGTGATATGCACTGGCTTAGCAGTTGAATTCACCATTCATATAACTAAACTGTACACTCGAAGCCATTTGTCTTTCAGTGATACCAATGAGGAAGTCATGTATGAGAATTTTATGCATGGAACAGGAACCAATGTTCGGGTGATTAAACTGTATAATTCACTCATTACAACAGGTGGAACAGTTTTCACCGGAATAACATTAACAAAATTAATTGGTATAAGTGTTTTAGCATTCACCAGGCTGCAAATATTTGAAGTCTATTATTTTCGGATGTGGCTACTGTTGATTGTCATTGCTGCTTTACATGCATTGATATTATTGCCTGTTCTTTTAGCTGAATTTGGTACGACTACAACCATTATTAAAGATAGAGATGAATTGGAAAGAAACTTGAACAGCACTAGTGAAAATGCAGTGCAATCTCTAAGACGATATGCAGACGATGATTAAAATATATATACATAGTTGTCACTATAAAATCTGACGCGCTACCATTTGTTTCGTGAACGTCTTTTTTATTACCTGTATATAGGTAATGTCAAGATTTAATTATATTAAACGCTATAAATATATTCTATGCACGGCTATTGCCAAAATAGGCTTATCCAGCCAGACGACACCGCTTTTGGGCAGAAAATTGAATATAACCAGCTACAAAAAGCATTGGCGGCTAATATCATAAATTAGATTAAGAAGTTGACTGGTTATTGCCAGCAAAACGTTTAACATAGTTTACATCAGCGGAATAAAATACACGATATAGTATGTATTGGTGTGCGCACGACTTCTACTTGAAAAGAAATATTCTGGATTAGCATCATGTTCATTTAATTACCGTCATAGAAATTGTATCCATCCACACACTTATGACTATATGATAAGAAATATGCTACTGTTACAGCAAATAGTGTCAGTCACACAAATAGCGTAGTGAAAATTGTGTGATTAGCACATCTTCTGTACACTCTCCTTGACTTACAGGTCGTCATTTTTGGTCACGTGATCCAACTCCCCGACACCTAGTGGCCATTTTCGGGAATAAAAAGGATGAAAAGCAAATACATGCTAACCCAATCCCTCTTCTTCTTAGTTAACAAAGGCATTAATAATGGTTGCTAATTATACATTCACATGGTATGTGTTTAAATATGATTGAAAGAGGTTTTTTTCGGAATAAAGGAGAAGAAATAGAGAAGCCACTTAAAGTGAAGGAGTGAAATATATTAGTATGTGGTATACATCATAAGTAATAGTAATAATGTGATACGTAGTATTATTTACTATTATCATGGTGTTCGGGTGTTTCCTTAATTTAAACCTTATTTATTGTATTCATAATACTAACTCTTACTATAGGCCCGCTGGCCCCGAAGAAGTTATTCTTACAGGTACTTTTGATAACTGGTCTCAATCACAGCCCCTTGTCAAGCAAAAAGACGGTTCTTTCAAATTGGATTTCCCAATCACTGCTGACCATTCAGGTAAATTGTTATTCAAGTTTGTTGTTGATGGAGTCTGGAAGGTTTCCTCTGATGTTGAAATCGAAAGAGACGAACATGGCAATGAGAACAACGTTCTTGATGCTGACACTTTAAAGAATGCTGTTCACACCACTTCTAAAGGTGCTGAAGCCAGAATCCCTGAAATTGGTGATACTTCTATTCTTACAGCTACTGGTGTTGTTCCTGTGGTTGCAGCCTCTGCTATTGAAGAAACAACCTATGTTCCTGCTAAGGAAGGAGAATTCAAGACCACCGTCCAACCTGTGGCTCCTGTATCTCAAGCTTCTGTTACTGGTGAACCTGGTATTCAAATTCCTCAAACTCCCGAAGCTCTTTCTGCTTTTGAAACAGTTAGAGATGTCGATCCCAAAACTTTGAATGAAGAAATCTCTGCTGAAGAAAAGGCTAAGCAAAAGAAGAAGGTCAAGAGAGCTCAATACAAAGCCAAGAAGAAGAAGAAGGCTGCCGCTGCTGCTGCTGCTGCCACTGCTGCTGGTGCCACTGCTGCTGGTGCCACTGCTGCTAATGCTACTTCTTCTGGTGAAGATGACACTGAAGAAACAGCTGAATCTACTCCTGAACCTGAAGTAGCTGCTCCATCTGCTACTGGTGCCGTTGGTGCAGGAGCTCTTGCTGCTTCTCAACCTGAAGCTGATGTTTCTTCTACTGCAGCTATCAAATCGGTTCCTCCAACTTCTGTTGTTGAACCAGAACCAGAACCTGAAGTTGTTGCTGAACCTGAAGTTCCTCATACTTTGGATCCAAAGGTTAACCATGATGCTATTAATGCTGCTGAAACTGCTACTACATCTGCTGCTTACCCTGAAGTTGAAAATGATTTCATTGCTGAAGAAGGAAAGAATGTTGATCAACCAGAAGCTACTGCTGCTGCTACTGCTGCTGTTGCTCATCATCAAGGAGCTGAGGAAGAAGAAGAAATCATTGCTGCTAAAGGTGACAAGGAAGCTGTTGCAGCCGCAATTGCAGCAGAAGAAGGGCATCCTGTTGAAGTTGAAGAAGTTGAACCAACCAAAGAGCAAAAGAAGGAAGCTGAAGAGGCTGAAGCTAATGCTAAAGAATCTGCTGCAGATGCTAAGATCAAGGAAGCCACTGCTGCTGCTAATGTTGCTGCTGCTAAGATGGGTGAAGAAGCCAAGGTTGTTGCAGCTGAAACCAAGAAGATCATTGAAGAAAAGAGAGAGAAGAGAAAGTCTGGATTTTCTAGATTCTTGAAGAAGATCTTCAAATAAGCAATGCATGCATTCGTGGACATTGAAAGCATCACATCGTATCACTATGAAAGTGCTCTCCATTCGTTAAGAGTAACAGTGATCTCATCCAATTGATGTTTATTATCATTATTTTTATGATTGCAATTTTATTACTATTATCGTTATTATTGATGTTTGATCAAAGACTCCTTTTATTCATTTTTGTTATTATTATACTTCAAAGTGTTGATGATGCTTGACACTTTACGTTTAATTACACTCGTGATGGTTTAGTTTTGAGTTCCACTCTCGTTATTGCCAACAACGAACTCCTCCACGTGTCCTTGTTCTATTATGTATCTCTTTTTATAGGCCATTCATCACTCTTATTATCATCTTAATTGACTAATGATGATATGATGGAACTATTCTACAATTATTGTTCATTATTACTTTTTAATTTGATAACATCCATTTTAACCTAAACTATAATACACGTGACTGTAAACCATTTTTAACGAGCTTCGAATTGGACCATTCTTCTGGTTCTAGCCTTATAAAGAACACGATGTCCACATTCCTTACATCTGATGGCATCTGAACGACTCAATTGGAACGAAGACCCACATTGAGCACAGTTGTATTTGATACCGAGGGTCTTGGAGGTGATTTGACCGTGTGCAGCATGAGAAAGCGAGCTTGGGGCGGAGAACCCTTCCCTTTGTGGCGAAGACATGATGAGTGTTAAAGAAGAAGAAGAAGATAATGATAATGATGACAATATCTAAATGCGATGATTAATTGTAGAAGAGTTTTAATTTTTGTTGACCACATGCAGGATATATAGACTTTGTCTATATTATTGCTTGTTAATATATGGCTATATGTATGTGTGTAAATCTATAATTATAAACTCTATTAAATGTGAGTTTGTAAAAATGAATGTATGTATGCATATATGTATGTACGTATGTGCGTATTTACGTACGTATGTATCTATCTATCTATCTAGGTATGTATGTAGGTATGTCAGTACTTGTCAACGCATATTCTATTACATAATATTCTCACCCACATTTCCCTTTTAGGTGTCGCTGAAAATTTTCAGATCACAGCCATTACTACTTTACTTCTCCCAAAGAACACTTGAACCATGAAGAAATGAATTCCATTAAAGATGCGCTAATAAGGTTGAGTCGTGTGGTTCGACAGCTTGAAAACGGCATAGGATCAAAGCCCATTCAATCGTATAAAGCACCAAAGAAGAAACATTCATTAGTTAAGCCATATACAACAATAGAAATACGACGGCCTGATAGAAACATTCCTAACGTTAGTAGATATTCGTCATTAGTTAGAAATGACGCTAATGAAAGATTTAAAGCCTTTTTAAGACCATTGGAAATACCAAATTTAAAGACTCTTGAAGAACACCTCCCTGACGTCCGATATGATAATGAGAAAGCTAGAAACAATTGGTTAATTAATAAAGATAATTTGAGTGGATTCCTTTATAATCGAGATTCGTTTTCTAGGATGGTTAATTTGATCCGAGACTTGTTACCCGAAGAGCTTACTGTTAATAACAAGTCACCAGAATACATCAAGAGAATTCTCCAAGTTGATCAATTTGAACGTCACCAAAAATCATTTGATGATATTGGCCCATCAACTAGTTTTAATCCAATACCCAGTATGCCTTCACCGCTTACGCCGGAGTCTTTTCGTAAATGGATATACCAATTGACGCATGTTAAATATTACTATCAGAATCTGTCAAGTTTATGCAATGGAAAAATCGCAGATATTCTATTGCAGACGCATGATTTGAACAATGCCCAATATAAGAGGTTCCGGTCAGTAGATACCTACAATTATCTTATCAAGTGGTTTGGATACGATAAGAATCAAAACTCGTTTGCCAGAGAATTAATACTAGTTATGAATAAAGATGGCCATCGAATCAATTTGGATACCATCAACCAATTGTTAAAGATTTGCACTACTCATCTGCACATTCGACAGCTTTCCAATACCTATGATAACATATCGCAGAACCTAATCTTGGCTAAGAAGCTTGGCCTTGGTTTAGATTTGACTAGTTTGTATCGGATTTATGATTCCGTTTCAAGTATTTATTTAAAGGAACTATATCTTAATCGGTTGACCGGCATGGGGGTTCCTATTCCGAGAGGCTTGATCATACGAATAGTTCAAGACTTTGCTAAGACTACTAAGGTGACATCGGAATTAATCACGTTTATTGAGAACGACTTAAATATTCTTAATTGGAAAGAGGATTCTCAAATCTATAATCAAGTGATTATGCATCGAGCGAATTACGAGCCGTTAGATGTGGTTCTACAGGATGTCATGCATAATTACGATGGATATACGGTGAAATATTTGATGGAATCTGTAGTTAACCGAAAGGGTGATGATTTACAATTATGGAAAATATACCAAGCTCTTCCACTTGATACAGACAAGTATTTGAGGGTGGTTATTATATTCAAGTTTTTGGTGCAAAGAACCTTGGTATCCAGCAAATATACTCAGAAGCAGAAAATATTTTTGGTACGAGGAATAATGCATGAAATGATTAAGAGTGTTGATATGCCATTGGAGGTCAAGGTTCATGTTCCATCGGGTTATAACAGCTACGAATACTATAAGATGTTTAAAAGGGTTGTGGGACGGAATTATAAGGGAGACCCTGGGTCTATAACCCGATTAGAAGCCTGTTCACGGTACTATTATGGAGTTAATGTACTTTGTCGTTTGCTAAGTGAAGCAGAGCAACGGAATTGGAAACTTTTTTTTACTGATAAGGTTATTATTGACGACCACATTGATGATAAGGGTTTGGTGGTGGCTCCTAAGAGAGAAGGCATAGTACTGGAGAAATATATTGCCCGGTACGAAGTTGAGCAATGGAATAAAATTCAACTGAATAGAGTTAGAGATCAATTATTGATGTTGCGAGATGCAAACGAAGAAGAGGAAGAATTAGTTCTGGCAGGTATAGACTTGTAAATATGTATAATAGATTGTATAAAGGATAATAGGACACATAATTTTGTTCACTATACAACAATAGAGCCAAGTAAAAGTATTATAGCAAAGTAGTAAATTTGTAAACTGAGGTTAGTAAAGTTCTTTTTTATTTTTTATGACATGGGATTAGGAACTCGATGCTTTGCTTTGACACATTTTCCGTTTAAAGCAGATGTAATATGTGGGAAATACATAATAATGCGACTACAGATACTTAGAAAAATAAAGGTCGTAATACTTCATAGTGCATGGCACGTAGCAACCAAGTGCAAAATTATAAATAATATTATCAATCAACATACCTACATACATACATATTTCGCGTACGTGTATGCACACACACATACACTTAATGTAAACACGTGACATAGGTATCCACATCCACGCTGATCCAATTATAAATATAATCATACACTTCGACGGTGTACACTTATAAATAGACACTTCTACGATGCGCACTTATATATACACTTCACACATTTATTGTCCGTTATCCGTATACGAACATTCAAATTCCCTGTCCTCAAGTTCCCTTCGGTCCTGCACCCTTGACATGGTCCGCGAACCCTCGTACGCCCATACCCGTCTTTGTTTCCCAAATGCAAGCGAACAACCTGTACGGCCACTACCGAAAACGGAAACAACATATTGCTGCCATTGTGTGTATAATTAGATCATACCTGCTTCTAAGGGGCCACATCCAATGACCTCGAATGTTGAAATTTAACATAAATGTTTCATCGCCATATTTCATCCTTACTTTTTATCAGTTAGCTGTGCTTTGTTGATACTGCAGTACTAACAGTAATTCACTAATCAAAGTATACAACACTGAATCAACTCCCATTGCTGTTAGTTATAGTCAGTACCGTTTAGTAATAGCCAATAGAACTTTTACTGTTTTTTGTTTCACCTCGCATGCTTTCCTTCTAACACCCGTTCATGCCCTTATCGTTCCTTAATTGACATGATTCAATCTGCATCACCATCAATATGGCTTCTACTACTATCTTGGAGTCTTCCCTTGGCTCACTCGTTATCCCTCAATCAATGCTCAACTCAGAATATAGGATCAAATGTCTTGAGATCGGAATATATGTCTAATGGAGGATGTATCACCCATTGTCGGGATTTGGGTTATCTGGTGGCTATCGTCCAGGAATTTTATTGTTGGTGCTCAAATAATTTACCTCCGTCAACGACTGAGACGTCTAATTGTAATGCTCCTTGTCCAGGGTTCCCTTATGAAAATTGTCCTCGTACGGGTTACTTCGGTTATTTGGTGGTATCTGGTAATCCTCTGACTTTGGAATCATCATCAACTTCATCCAAAACTTTGTCAACGGCAACGTCAAGTTCTTCAACAACTTCTTCAACTTCAACTTCATTGAAAAGTTCCACTACGCCTCCATCCACTTCCCTGACATCTCCAACCTCATCCTCAATGTCATCCTCAACATCTACATCATCTTCCCCGACGACTTTCTCTACTTCGTCATCGTCAACAGAGCCAGAAACATCATCGACTGAAACGTCGTCATCAGCCACCTCATCACTGGAACTCTCGTCAACTTCTTCTTCTTCGTCGTCGTCGTCGTCTTTGTCAACATCTTCAAAGTCCTCCTCCTCCTCACTGGTGTATGCCACTACGTTATACTCTACTAAAACAGTCAATGGTGTTGTGTCCCAATTGTTAACTACTCAATACATAACCACTTATGCTTCCACCACCCCCACAGCAACTTCTACGCCCACAGCCACTCCAACTTCAACGTCCAAATCTTTCTTTGACTCAAAAGGTAAAGTTGCTGGTACCTTTACAGCCGTTGGAGTTGTTATTGTTGCCCTTATTGGGGGAATAATATGGTGTTGTTGCTTTGCTGGGGGCCGTCACGGAGATGACAATGATGGCGATGGATATAGTGACGAAGAAAAGTCTGTTACTTCATTTTCTAAACCGATACCTTATATTAAGCCACATTCTAATACCCCAACACCACCTCTAGGGGCCCCAGTGACTCCCTTGAAACGATCTAGTACTGGGAAAGTCTTACTATCGAAATTGACAAGTTTGCCAGCCAATAATAATAATAATAATAATAGTGCTGGTAAAGGTGGATCTGATGGAGGTGGATCGGGATTAGTTGGACGATCCTTATCAAGACGAAAGCTCAAAGAAGACTTTGAAGACGACAGTAATAAAGTACTTGAAAACATCTTCCCCATTCTGGAGCACGACACGAGACTTGATCCAATGTCTTTATTTGCAATGCAAGTTAGCAATACTTCAAAAACATCATTTGGTGATGATGTTGATTATTCTCGGAAACTTAAAGTCATTAATTGAACTTAAGTATATTTTTTTGATATTTATTGGTTGGTTTTTACGTAATTTTTATTCTTTCTTCATTAATCGTTATTTAACTTCTCCCTATATTATAATGAGATTATCTTAATATTATGCCATTTTTATGTTAACAATGTTTTTGTCTTAATAATATTAATCCATTTTAAATAGCTTCTTTGGGTACAGTAGATTGATTAGTGTATAATGGTTGTTTCTCATAAGCATTTGGACTTGGACTCCTTTTATGTTCATGGTCATGGTCATGATCGTGGTTGCATTTATGGTTTCTACTCTCTCGTTCGTCTTCGGAACTCAGAGACGATGAATCATCTGAAGAATCCAGCGAATCACTAAACTCACCAAAATCTCTTTGAGGGTGGAAGATACAACAAATCTTCAGTTTCTTCTTGTTCATATTTTCATTATCAACAACATCTTCTTCCCATTGAACACGAGGTTTCTGTTTAGTCTTTTTGGACCTTTTATTCTTCAATCGAAGTATTGGTGCAGGGGTTTGTGGCTCGGTGATAGTCACTGTTGAAGACCCCGTACGAGTTTGTAGGGAGCGATCGCCGGGATCTAAGGACGTGTTTGTTTGTTGCTGGTCCATCATATTATTATTACTTCCCTCTGTCATGTTTTGTTGGTGAAAGAGTTCAGTTTAACAAGTGGTGTGCTTATTAAGTTGTATATTCTTGTGCTTTTAAGGATGATATATTTTGTGTTGGTTGGTGCACTACCTTTGGCTGCGAAATGTGTATATGTATGGGGACTAGAAGGTGGAGAATAGTGTAGTACGGTAAAGGTAGACGATATTGAAGTCAGTATGGTATACGTGTAAGTTAGTGTGGCATAGTGTAGTATAGAAGTATTAATATATGTTATCTCAGTAGACCGTCGTAGGCTTCTTTTTTGATGTCGGATTAACGCACACTTCTTTACAAGAATGATGGAATTAATGGAAAAATGTCTAATATCTAGTTGACTCGAAATATTTGTCTATATTATTTCTTTTCCTTAATAAGGATAATATAAGCTTACAACTATTGTGTTTAATAGTGTTTATATCGTGTTACAAGGGGTTTTAACAGCTTTTTAGCAACTTTTTATATGCTTTTCCCTCTGATTTTATAAATATTTTGTGAAAAAAACAATCACAAAATCTCCCGGTGGCCAAGCTGGTTAAGGCGCGAGACTGTAATGAGTATCCTCAAAGTAATCTTGAGATCGGGCGTTCGACTCGCCCCCGGGAGAATTTCCTCTTGCCTTTATGGCCAAGTTGGTAAGGCACCTCACTAGTAATGAGGAGATCTTCAGTTCGAATCTGAGTGAAGGCAATTATTTTTGCATTTGTTACTTGAAACTAGCCAAGAAGTCGTGTTTTGGAGGCTGTGTTGATATTGTACAGTAATTGGGTCGTGTACTGTCCGTCATCAGGTATCAAGAAAAGTGAGAAACGTTTTGGGTGTTCGTCAAGAAGGACAGTTGACCCAGACAAAAATGATAACTACTATACATATTCACACTAAGAAATGACCTAAGACGGCTATCTAATAAAAAAGTTAGATTCTACTTAATATGGTTTATTGTCAGAACAGACAAGGGTGTTGTAATCATTCCATCATAGTATATGAGTAAAGTACAGTCATAATAGTTTATGACATTATAGGTGTTCTTGTGTGCAGACACCAATAAGAATAATAATGACTCCACAATCGGATAATAAAAGTACACCAACAAGACAAGACAAATCAGGGCAAGAAAGGACAAGACAAGACGTAATTTAGACGGACGTAACAAACTGAAACGCTCGAACTGTTGCGTAGTTTATGATTATCAGTATACTCATACGTATGTTAACTTACGTCGGCCTGTAATATTCTTATTATTCAAACCTCATATGTAGCACAGTGTACGACAACTACCATTGCATGCCGTAAAAATGTCTGGGTACCGATAAACATTCATTTTGTCTGTAGAGCGGAAGTAATTCCCAGACTGGACGGGGTAACTTCTGGACTGCAACATCAAGAAAAAAGAAACATGATCTTTTTGCGAACCGTTATTCTTGGCAATTCCAATTTATAAAAGTGAGGCCCTGGCCATGCCCCCTAAAAAAATTTGTCGTTGACATTAGTTTTCTTCACAGTAACGTGACCAATAAAAGTCGTCACCATGAATTATAATATCCATCCTATATCATATTTGAACGCCGACAGTTATAACTCCACGGCCCAATCAGGTTCCGAACCTCATGTAGACTCCGTTGCAGCTTCTGTCAGTGAGGATTCCAAGTCCGGTAGCCCTAAGGGTAATAACAACAATAATAATGCTAATAATGCTCACATTACAAGTATCTCCACTTCTTCTACAACTTCATCGTCGTATGAGTTTGAAGACACTCACAGTCCTACCAACTCACTGAGCAACCTCAACACCAACTCCCCTCAATCCTCGTTTACTTCGCAATCTTCTGGGAACTCTCCTTTGCTTATGGACAAGGATTATGAGAATGGTCAAGCAAATCTCCACAATAACGGCGATCATCACCACCACCACCACCACCACCACCTGCAAACGCAGCTGGGCGTTTCACCAATTTTGAACCCAATAACTGCTTCTCAAGGGTTTCAACGGCAACAACAAGAACACCAACAAGGTGTCCAGAACGTACAATATTCCTTTCCCCACGGCAATAACAAGAGCAGTAATTCTGCAGCTGCTAACCCTTTCAGTGTTCCTTTGTTCAACCCTATTGCGGCCTCACAAAGTCACAACTTGTTTTCAGGTAACCATTTTGACGAATTGTTGTACAACAACTACAACAAGCCAGCTCCACAAGGTCAAGTAAACCTTCACAATCATGTTTCAAAGCAAGTTGATCTTAGCAGTGAAATTCCTATTCCAACCAGCAACAACAACAACAATATTAACAATATACCCGAAAGTGCCGGCGAGAATCTTGGAACTTCACCACCAAAGAAGAAAAAGATCTACAGAAAGGTCAAGGATGAAGACATGAAGGGTCCATTCAATTGTAGATGGAAGTCTTGTACTGCTATTTTTGATGTACCTGAAGATTTGTACGATCATTTGTGTAATGATCACGTTGGTCGTAAGTCTTCTAACAACTTACAATTGACTTGTTACTGGGATAATTGCTTGACTTCTACTGTCAAGAGAGACCACATAACTTCTCACTTAAGAGTGCACATTCCATTGAAGCCTTTCCATTGTGAATTGTGTCCTAAGCTGTTCAAGAGACCTCAAGATTTGAAGAAGCACATGAAGATCCACAATGAAGATCATTTGAGAAACTTGAAGAAGAATCAAAAGAAGTTGGCCAAGTTGGAACAACAGAAGATGTCAAGACATCAGCAAACCCCTCTTTATACTCAACCTATAATTGGAAACAGTATGGCAGCTCCTGGAAAGAGGAAGTTGGATGGTAACATGAGTATGATCTCATCGATTTTGACGGACTTCAACTTTGGTGAAATGCATCAAGATACCAATAAGAGAGCTAGATTTGATGGTGGTAGCTACAACATTGATATGTTTAACAAGTTGAACTCAACATATGATCAAACTTGTCACCAACAACAACCTCCACAACAACAACAGCAACAAGCTGCTCTTCATAATATGTTCAACAACGTGCCACAAATTAATGAAACAGAAAGATACTTTTACAATTTGTCAAATTCCATTGACAATCAATACCAACAATTACTTGATGGTTCTGGTCAGTCAGCACAATTATACCCAACCACTTCACAAACTTATGGCTCGCATCCATTGAATGGGTTTGCTGCTCCAGTTGCTGGTCTTTCCAGTGGTTCATCAGGTATTTACTACCCACCTCAAATTAACAGAGCCAACAACTATGCACAATCATTCAATCGTGTTTCCAACTACCAAAAGTCTGCTGATAAACGAGACGAAGAATATGAAGAAGAAGACGAAGGAGAAGAGTCTTACTCTGAGGCTTCTACTGAAGACTTCTCCTCTGAAGATGATGAAGAAGTTGATGATGATCAATTGGCTGGCTTGCTTGGAGGTTTGTCACTCGAGCAATCGTACGATGTTAATGATGTTTTGAAGCACAAGCAAATGGTTGATGCTGTATTACAATACCTCAGTAATATAAAGCAGAAGATGCTTGCAGAGGAAGAGGAAACTACTTTATCATCTAGCAAGTTGTATCCTGAGATTGCTGCATTTTAAATTGGGTTTATCGTGTGTTTGTTTGGTTTGACTTTTATTTCTATATTATTACTTTATTTGTTATTATTTTTCTTTGTTATATATGGGTATTATGCTATGTACATTAATTAACTACTACTATCATGATTAGTTTGACTGAGTTTCTCTAATAATACCTGACCCGATGATCCTATCATTAAGATAAAGCACAAGGGTTTGACCAGGAGCCATTGCTCTTTCCTTTTCCATCAATTTGATGGAAAGAACACTATCATCATCACCACGTTGTAGCTTCAAGCAGTCGACATAAGACTTGTGCTGGAGGGATCTGAACTGGACATTCAAGTCTTTTACCTGAGTCCATTGGTCACCATTAAGTTGTAATTCTAGTGGTGACAGTGACCCAAACCATTGCCAATTTTCCACCACCAATTGGTTCTTGTACAACTTGTCATTCTTGTTCCCCCGGACTATCACCAACAGATTGTCGGCCAAGTTCTTTTCACTGACAAACCAAGTTCCCTTGTATTTGTCATCGCCCTGTGGCATCAGGATCCCGCTTTTCTGGCCAATGGTCGCGTGCCAAAGACCTTCGTGTTGTCCCCAGATCTTCCCGTCTTCGGTAACGATGTTCCCTGGGTTCGGTTCAAGGTATTCGGCCAAAAAGTCCCGGAACTTGGTGTCTTGCTGAACAAAACAGAGTCCATCCAGATCAGGTTTCAGAGCAGTGCTAAGTCCAAACTTGGAGGCCAACTCACGGACTTTGGGCTTGGTCAAATGGCCCATAGGCATGAGTACATGATCCATGACTTGTACAGGCATCTTAGCCAAGTAATAGGCTTGGTCTTTAGCCAAATACAGACCTCTAAGAAGATGGAACTCATTGCTGTCCAAGTGTTTCATGACTCGGGAGTAGTGACCCGTGACAAGCCACCGTCGGGTTTGCTGACATTGATCTTGGTTCATTACATGGTCATACAAAACTCCAAACTTTACGTGTTGGTTGCAGCCAACATCGGGATTGGGAGTCCATCCCTTCCGGTACTCGTCCAACATGGGCACAAACACTTTATGCCAGTACTCCTTTTCGAAGTTGACTCTTTCCACGGGGATTTCCAACTGTTTGCACACTGTCTGGACGTCTTTCCAATCTGCTTCAATGCATCGCGAAGTCTGGGTCCAGTTGGCCATGTAGATTCCCCGGACATTGGGGAACACAGAGGCATAAAGTGCAGCGCAGACAGATGAGTCTACGCCGGAACTCATGGCGATGACTATTTCATCTTCAGGTTTGGGATGTAGCTGTTGGTATTTGTTGGAAGATGGTGTAATGAATTGAGAGAAGACGGACTTAGCTAGATCCGAATTGAGATGGGTACTAGCTTTGGAACTTAGACACCGACGGTGCCATCGGATGTAAGGCACTATACGAGACAACATGAGTATATGTGTTGACACTGGTATACAGTTGTGGTCTGTTTTGGCAGATGTGGTTCGGGTTAGATTTTGTCGTGATGAGATTGATCTCAGTACACAGAAAGCGGTGTTAACATTATGTAATGTACGCACATCATCAAACTGATATAATCTGACACAGTCAATGTACACAGATACGGTGGTATAATCAGACAGAATACAAAGACTTCTACAAAGTACTTATTTCTTTAACATATTAATTCAAAACAGAGATGCTTCTACTCATTCTCCTACCCTGAGACAATCACCGTCTCGGAACAGAAGATAAAGCTGCAGATACGCTAGAAATTAGTCAAGCGAATCGATAACTCTTACATGAGTTCTCAGACATCTAAATATAAAAAAACTTGGTTATCTAGAGCACCAATAAGCTTAATAATATTGGTAATATCATTATCATATTATCACTCTAATCAACTTCAGCAGTTGACAAAATAAAACAAACAAGATAGTAGTTTTAAAAACCATGGATTTTGATATTCTTCTTGGACAAACCCAATTGAGTAGTTAAAAATTCAGAAACCTTAACTCTTTGGTCACCTTGTAATTGAATAACTTCACCTAATTCTTCATCCTTAACAATGTTACCGTTACAGGCAAAGTCCTTTTTCAAAACCTTCAAGATTTTCTTCAAGTCATATTCTTGGGGGACACCTTGGACGGTAGTCAAGGTCTTTCTACCGTTACGTTGTTGAATACGAATATGGATGTAACTGGTGGGTTGCGAATCTGAATCCCCAGTGTCGGCAAAAGGGTCTATAAAAAAGTGTTAGTAATTAATCTGAAAGTGATGGCGTAACATTACTTGATTTATACATGGCATAATCATGGCATAATCATCACGCGTATCAAACTAAAAGGGCAACTTCACATACCAAAAGCGTTTAAATTTTGGATAGTAGACATATAAAGGTTTCCGTGTGTTATGGTAGCTTGTTTTATTGAGTCAATAAGGAAGAAGAAGAAGACGGTGTGAGTTTCATTTAGGGGATCAAACCGAAAAGAAAAAAATGGAAGACCGGTCGTGTAAGTGTGCTAAAAACAGCCAATCAATGACCTAATGATTGCAGTACATAGAGTTTGAAATACGGTTGGATCAACTTACGAACCGGATAGAATGAAGGGATGAATCATATTACCGTCAGTATTGAATATTATAATGTTTTTGGTAATGAAGGAGATGGGAACTAAGCATAAAAATCAAGTCCAAGATCACGTGATATATTTTAATCACGTGACAAGATAACACAATAGATCAAATTTCATGCTATTAAGGGAACATTTTTACTACTTCATATCACCCTTTGACTTAAAGTAGTCGGAATAGTATCCTAATCTTCTTGTTTGGCATTACAACTCTCTCTCCCACCTAGAATCAAAATTTTCAACCTCTATACAGTTATAGTTACCCAAAACGTTCAAATTTTCTGGACATGGTAATTGCACTACGTATAATGCATGTGCAATTTACAATCTATGTCCCAACAACTGTACACTATAACCAAAAAGAGTATTATGTAGTCTAATGCGATAAAATGAGGGGATCATCAAAAAATAGCAAGCGAACAAAAGTTACAGTAATGCACCTATACTCTTACCAGTAAGACAATCGTCTAAATGATAATAAAATCTTTATCTGATAGTTCGTTAAACACCATATCCATGGGTGAGTTTAACTTTTTTCAACACCTTAGCAGACCGCGCTACCATTAACATACATCGTGTCTCTACCGTGGTTTTATTTGATGAGTGTTCCCTCAATGATCCTCTCTGCAAATAGCAGTGGATCTATAGACAATAATATGTAGAAACTTTGACTGTAGGTTTTTTTTTCTCTTGACCTTTTGCTGTGATTCATTAAGTCGTTAACTTTCGGTTGGGAGTGCTTGTGTGTTGTCAGTGTTGCTGTTAGTTGGATTCAGTAGGCAAGTAAGTTAGGTGAATTACTACTACTGTTAATAAAGTACTATACCATTTTGTTGATTCATAGACATTGTTAATTTTCTATCCTGTTTAAAGGTACTGTTCTGGATACTGATAGAGCCATCATATTACTACATTAATCATTATGACAGGAGAAACATCCGTTAAGTCCGCCTCTGCCACTGACGTAAGCTCGCCATCATCAAAAAGTGAGGTTAAAATTAAGAGTTTGAGTAAGAGTGATGACAAGAAGAATACTACCACAACTGTCACCAACGAACGAGAGAAGAAGAAGCAAACATTCATTACAAGAACCGTATGGACTCTTGTGATGATTGTGTTCTTCCTCGTTGTTATTGCTGGTGGGCATTCAACAATTGTATCATTGGTTGTTGTTGCTCAGTTGTTAACGTTTAAAGAGGTGATTGCTCTTACTGCTGAACCAGCTAGAGATAAGAATATCCCTTGGAATAAATCATTAAATTGGTATTTCCTTATAACCACAATCTATTACCTTGAAAGTGATGTGTTGGTAGGCTTCTTTCAAGATTACATTTATTCAAATAAATTTTTAACTGTATTGGTAACTCACCATACATTTATCAGTTACTTTTTGTATGTATTGGGTTTTATTTTCTTTATTTTGACTTTGAAAAAGGGGTTCTACAAGTTCCAATTTGCTCAATTGTGTATTACTCACATGACTTTATTGATTGTGGTGTTCCAGGGCCATCTTGTAATGGAAAATATTCTTACTGGTGTATTTTGGTTCTTTTTACCTGTGGCATTGGTCATTGTTAACGATATCTTTGCTTATTTATGTGGTATAACATTTGGTAGAACTCAATTGATTGAAATTTCTCCAAAGAAAACTGTGGAGGGATTTCTTGGTGCTTGGATCTTTACAATGTTGTTTGCCGTATTTTTTACTTATGTGCTTTCAATGTCTGATTTCTTCATTTGTCCTGCAGTCAATTTATCTACAAATGTCTATAATTTCCCAACTTGTGACCCAAACCCAGTCTTTGTTAGCCAATTATACACTGTCCCTCAGAACTTTATTTCCAGATATTATGAAGTGGATATTATTACTATGAAACCAATTTATTTGCATTCTTTGGCATACGCAACTTTTGCTTCTTTAATTGCTCCTTTCGGTGGGTTCTTTGCAAGTGGACTTAAAAGAGCTTTTGGTATCAAAGACTTCGGTGATACTATTCCAGGTCATGGTGGTGTAACTGATCGTATTGATTGTCAATTCCTTATGGGTTCATTTTCCTACTTGTACTATCAAACTTTTGTATCAACCTCAAATATGAACATTGCTAACGTTCTACAGATTGCAGTGATGAATTTATCCGAACCTCAAATCTTACAATTAATCAAAAGCTTGTTACGGTATTTGAATGGTGTTTCTTGGCTCAGTGATGGGAAATTAGAAACTGTCTTGCAAATCTTAGATGCTTAAAAGTATTGTTACATATTGCTAACTGGAATAACAGCTTTCTATCTGCAGCTGCATCTCTTACTTCGTTTGCGTCTGCTGCTGCTAGTACTGTTCATTTTTGTATAGTCATTTTTTGTATTCTATTGTAATGGTATAACTCTTTTCTAATTTTACGTTTGTTTGACATACTTTTATCGTCTACATTCCAGATCCTGAATTATATTCCTGATTTGTAATTAAATCTAAGACCATCAACCTGTGGAATGAAATATTATTCCGCCCTGCGTGCGTAGGTCAACAAAATTTCACGGTCCGTCTAGGCTACAACTTCCAAACTTTCCGGTACCTACAAAAGTATACAGAATTAGATTTTAAAAATATGGATTCTATGGGCAGCACTTGCCTAACAAGCGTATTCATGTCAATTTTCCTGTTAATGTGATCAGAGAAGGGTGTTAGCCTTATAGGCTTACTCCAATATGATTGAAATTACGGTACTTTTACCCATTTTTACTATTCTGCAATATTAAGTTGATCCTTTGATCAACTTTATTGGCATTCTCGTGCAACTCCGTCTAAGTATTTTTTGCTCTATGGGAGCTCTCCGTCTCCAATCATATCTTTGATTAACTTCCAGCAACATCCTCAATGTAGAGAGTGCTGAACTACTATCCTAATTTAAGTCTGAGAACCTGTATATAGGTTAGCGTACCTTGCGTCCGCGTAGTTTATCCAGCCTCCGATGGCTGGTTGGTTCCTGCATGTGTCCCGCATTCAATGGTTGCGAAAGATTTGAAGCTTAATATAAGCAGATCTTAACATGCAAGGCAGATGGTTGCGATGGGTTCCAGATCTTGACAATGCCCCAATTTGAAACAGGTCACATTTAAATTCACTAAATAACAATGTTGTCAATGAGGTCATCTGGCGATTGCTGGCGGCAACAAGTATTGGGAATTACGTGCTGATTATGATTGATCACTAATTATAATCCGCAGCTCATAGCGCACCCATAATATGTATATATATATATATATATAATCTGTGCATTCTTTTCTTTGACGTATTTTTTCTTCTCTAATTTCAATTTTCATTACTACATTCGTTATATTAAAAGTGGACCAACAAACTAACTGCCATTCTTTCATTCTTTACTCTCCTTTCAAGCTATTAGCTATAATAACTCCAACTTAATACTTTCTTTAAAAAATATAATCCAACCCTATTACTTTCCTTTCAATATAATTAACTAGTTTACCATGAGAACTTCCATCCTTTCCTTTGCAACTTTGCTTTCAATGGCCATGGCCGCTCCCCTTCCTTTAGTTATAACTCGAATGCATACTGCTGCTCCAGTTACAACAACTGAAATTTACACTACTGGCACCACTACCATCGAATTGCCTCCAGTGATGATTTTAATTTCTGATGGTGTCACTTATACATCCACCATGAGTGAAAGTCCGGCTGGTTCTCCTACAACATTGACTCTGATTGTTGCTAAGGCTGCGGCTCCCACTCAAAATGTGGCTGATACTCCCTCACCAGATACTCCATCTGTTCCTACCACAACTGCTTCCACTGCTCCTACTCCCGCTGCAGAAAATCCTACTTCCACCTCTGCTGCTCCCGTTGCAGGAACTCCTGTTACTTCTGCTTCCGTTGAAACCTCTCCTACCACCTCTGTTGCTGCAGCTGCTCCTTCATCATCATCTTCTTCTTCTTCTTCTTCCTCTGCTTCAGTGGTAGCCTCCTCTCCAACTACACAAGGCCAAGCTGCTCCTGCTTCTCCTGCTACTACTTCCGCTGGTGAAGGTGATGAAAATACAACCACAATCACAAATGTTCAGAAATCTGCGGTCATTGTCATAGTAGAAAACGGAACCACCATCACAAGTACTTCTGCTATTCAAGTTCCAGATACTACTGGTGCTCCAAACAACGCCAATGCAAATGATCCTGGCACTACTTCCACTTCATCTAGTTCTTCGACTTCCTATTCGTCTACTTCTTCGACTTCTTTTTCCACCTCTACTTTTACTTCTTCGACCACTAAGGGATCTATTCCACCTCCAAACGTCATTGTCTATTCACCTTACACAAACTCCGGTGATTGTAAGGATGCCGATACTATTAGCTCTGATATACAATACATCTACTCGTTTGGAATCCACAAAATCAGAACTTATGGTACCGATTGTCTTAGTCTTACTGGAGTTCTCCCTGCTGCTGCCAAATTGGGTATTACTGTGGATCAAGGTATCTGGATCGATCAAGGTATCGATAGTGGAGATTCTTCAGTCAATGCATTGGTTAGCTGGGGACTGGAGAACGGTTGGAGTGTATTCAATTCCATTACTGTTGGTAATGAAGTTATCAACTCTGGATATGCAACTGTTCCACAATTAATTGCCAAAATTGCTTCCGTCAAGGCTCAATTGAGAGCTGCTGGTTATAATGGTCCTGTGACAACTGCTGAACCACCTGTGTCTTTTCAAAAGTATCCAAGCTTGTGTACTGAGTCAAAAATTGACTTTGTTTCTATCAATGCTCATCCATATTTCGATGGTGCCAGTACGCCTCCTCAAGCTGGGTCATTTGTAATGACTGAAAAGGCTCTTGTGGAAGACGTATGTGGGTCCAAACCCGTTGTTATTACCGAAACTGGATATCCCCATAAAGGTGATGCTAATGGTTTGCAAGTACCATCTAAAGAAAACCAAAGAATTGCTATTAGTGCTATAATTGAAGCAACAAAAGGCGATTGTACAATTTTGACCACCTACGATGATTTCTGGAAAAATCCAGGTAGTTACGGTATTGAGCAATACTTTGGTGCTATCACTTTATTCCAATGAGCTCTCAGAGTTTTCACAACCATTCTTTTGTACATTAGTAGCATAGTTTTGACTTTCTCTCGTTTAATAGATTTGCCTTCCTGTTTGACTAAAATTCAATGATCTTTGTAGGGAAATATTCATCAATGAGATCCAAATAATAACCCTTTAATTCTTTCACATCAAGCAATGGTTGATCATCGCTCTTTGAATATAAATCGTACTTGTTGAAAGCTCTTACCGCACTCAACATTTTCTTATCATCTTCATTCATCAAATATTGGTAAGCATTCTCTTTATGCCATGGATAAAATGAATGGTATCGAATCATAGCCAATGCCTCAGGAGGTAATTTAGAATTCCTCTTCGCTACATGGTACATGTACTCATCATGACCCCATGATAACATCACTTTGTCTAGCCCACAATTCTTGTAGTAGATGCCGTACTTTGTGTTATACAAGGGGTTAAAGAAATCAGAGTTCTTCTTGAATGTTTCAGCGAAAATAATCTTCTTCAGAAACTTACACCCCACAGGGAAAGTATCACCAACAACATCCCATTGACCTTGGGAGTCAAAGAAATATAAAAGCTTCCCTAGATCGTGGATCAACCCCACCAACTGGAACCATCTTGGTTTTTTATCTCGTCTTATGGCTTCAGCTGTTTGTAATGCATGATCTATTTGGGACAACTCGGTATCAGGATCTGAATCGTCTAGAAGCTTATTCAACTTTTCTAATCCTTCCCAAACCGACATCTTAGCTCTTGTTTTAGTCTTGAAGTTTATACGAGCTTGAATGTTGTATGCCACTGTTTGCTTCTCGTGTTGTTCAATATAGAACAGTTTGACTCTATCACAAGCTAATTCGTATTGACGGAAAGCATTTGGATCAACGTTTTGAAGCACAGAAATTTTATCATCCCAGTCAATAGCCTCTGAGGGTTCCATTTCTTCCCCATCAGAATTAAACTCGTCTTTGGTGGTTGATTCCGGTTCCGGTGTTTCTTTGGTGGCTGCTGCTTTCAACTGATTAATCTCTAAAATTTTATTGTCTAGTTTTTCTAGCAATACCCCAGATTTCTTTGCGAATTTATCATCCTCTTGTCGTGTCGGCTTCAGTACCTTGTTGCTTGTTCCAACCATTGTTCTATAATTGTTCAGTTAGGTGATGATATCATGTATCATTTTGTATTAATACTTCTTTGTTTGTAGTAGGAAATGAATTGTGTTCGTGCACGACTTTGTGGATCTTAGCATAATAATGGGTCTAATTGAATATCAACACACCTCTTTCTTTACATAAGCCAAAGATGAAGACTGTATTCATACTATTAGTTGGCAGTAATGTATTTTGTTATTTCATCATCCGGATCTCTTCTAACGCGTGTGATAACCCTCACTGCTTCTATTAAAACAAAACTGAATGAAAGAGTCAAGCAGTATCCTTTACCTTCTACTTCATTGTATATTTGGTATACGTCATAACTTTTCCTATAATATCTTGTATCTACTATAATTAGTCTTAGGTTTTCGTTCCAAATGTCTTTACGGAACTTATGTGAAGTAAATCGTGAAGTATGCAATTTTGTTTTATTAGTCAGTCACATGACTAAGCAATCATCAATCATCAGTATACCAATACCAAGTCAGACAATTACGGGAAACTTGATGAATTTAATGAGGAGCTAGATATTGCTTCTGAGTTCAACTACTCTATGATGCTAGAATGTCAATAATTTTCTCTTAGTACTGAGAACATTAAGAGAGTTAATAGTGAATGGTTAAGTTACAGAGAAGTCAATTGACAAAAAGGTTATCATTTGGAAAGATACCATGTGTTTGTGGGAAAGCCGCTTATATAAATGGTACTATGGAGTGCTCTAAATGAAGCAATCCTGATATACTCTTAGCTGAGATGCGGCCCGCCAATCGTCTATTTCACACAATATACCATTGTGCTTCACTCACGTTGGAACCATATAATGTCCTGTAATTAGGAGTTCACCTTACCCACGTAGGAAGAGTCCTTGTGGGAGCTTCTCAAACCCGGAAGAGAACCTAATTAGCCCGTAGTGGACTAACGTTTACCTTTGATGTGTCCCGAAGGGATCCACAGTTCCTAAGTCTATAGAGAGTAGAAGCCGTGTTTAACTCATCTTAAGTTCTTCTACAGGAATAGAACTTCAGAAATTGGCTTCACTAGCTCAGTTGGCAGAGCGTCAGTCTCATAGCTAATCAGTTGTGCAATCTGAAGGTCGACAGTTCGAACCTGCCGTGGAGCACGTTTCTTTTTCTTTTTTCTTTTTTTTTTAAAGAGAACACAAAAGTGGACCAATAATTATGTGTGTTATAATGAACCTCCTTATTAGGGAAGTATGCAAACTTCAAAATAAAAGATTCTGTAAGAACAAGCCAGTAGGTACACAGTCGGGTATGGTGGGTAGATACATTCAACAAGAGCATAGGAGCATAGTATTAATCTTAACATAAATATAGATCGGTTTGAATGGTTATAATGGGGCCCATCATCAGCCGTACATGCGATTAGAGTGTCACTCCTATACGCATAAACTTATTCCTACACAGTAGATATTCAATTAAGCCCTTTGAATCATTAGGTAATTATTGTCTTAATATCGCACTTCAACGATCCCTTAAAGCATATGCCACAAACACACCAAATTGCTACTACAAAATGAGCAGAGATGCAATTGGTATTAATAATATTATAATTATTTTATAATGATCATCATACCTCATGAAAGGCCGCATTTCAGGTAACAAAATCAGAAGAAGAGGCTAAAATGACATTTATTAAATCTTCTGCGATGCGGTGGGGGTATAAAAAGGATGAGGGTTCGCTCTTGTGACAAAAAAAGTTAATCTACTTTTCAATATCCCATCAAACAATATAGTCATGCTTACCGACCCTCAATATAACGGTATCATATATTCCACGTATGCCTTCCTCCTTTTATCGGGGATAGCATTGGCATGGAAGTTCACTAAGTCGGAGGAGAACTTTTTGTCCAACAATGGTACTCAAAGAGGAATTCCATTGGCCCTTAACTTCATCGCATCAGGTATGTTATAATAATAATAAAAATATTATTATTATTACTAGATTTTTATCTAGAGGTTTATATATATGATCAAGACAAATTTTGACTAATGGGTGCCATGTCTTACGGGATTTGAATGATTCCGTAGGTGCATAGCTGAGATTACACCATCAATACTAGATCAAGTTAATGCTTGTGTTAGGATTAGTTCAAATTGTCAGAGGAACCAAGTAAAATTTGAAGATACAGATTCTTATTGGTTTCTGTTATCAGAGAAATGGACTCTTTCAAGTTAAAGTTGTTTTGTTTGAATTCATTTTAGCTCCATTTGTGCCCTGTCCTTACGATCGATGATCACAGCAACTATTACTAATCTATAAAGTATTGCCAGTCACCAGTACTTGGTCATTAAAAACACTGATTTACTATAAAGTGTACCGCTACTAACATATATTAGCCATGGGATGTGGTGTTCTCACAACGTATACCTCTATTGGAAACTTGGGTCTTCATCCTTTGTTAGTGTACACACTTGCTGGGGCTATTCCCATCTTGTTGTTCGCTTACTTTGGTCCCATCATAAGAAAGAAGTGTCCTGAAGGTTTTATCTTAACAGAATGGGTCAGACAAAGATTTGGTCCTGTCACTTGTTTATACCTTTCATTCTTCACTTGTTTCACCATGTTCTTGTTCATGTTAGGTGAATTGACAGCCATTTCTGGTATCATTGCAACCATGACAGGCTTGAACACTACTGCAGCTGTTATTGTTGAGTGTGTAGTCACTACCATTTACACAGCAATGGGTGGGTTCCAAGTTTCTTTCATCACTGACAATTTTCAAGCTATGTTTGTCTTAATCATGGTGATTATCTGTTTCCTGGGTATGGGTTCATACATCCACATTGATAAATCTATGATCGGACCAAGTGGTCTTTTGAAAGCTAACAAGTTAGGTTGGCAATTGCTTTATATTTTAAATGTGGCCATCTGGACTAATGATGCGTTCCTTTCAGGTTTCTGGTTGAGAGCTTTCGCAGCTAAAACCGATAAGGATTTAGTCATTGGTACCTCTATCGCTGCATTCGTCACTTTTGCTATCTGTACTTTAGTAGGTTCTGCTGGGTTTATTGCAGTGTGGACTGGAGATTTGACTGTTGGTGATGCAGACTCTTATAATGCCTTTTTCATTTTATTGGCCAAGATGCCCAAATGGATCAATGTTATTGTTCTTATAATGGCCATTGCTTGGTCTGTGTGTACCTTTGACTCATTGCAATCCGGTATGATTTCCACAATTTCAAATGATGTTTTCCGTAATAAATTGCACATCAATTGGATTAGAATTGGGGTTATCATTTTGATGGTACCAATTGTTGTTCTTGCATTGAAGGTTGCAAACTCCATTTTGCAAATTTATTTGATTGCTGACTTGGTTTCTGCAGCACTCATTCCAGCTATTTTCCTTGGATTGAGTGATACTTATTTCTGGTACTTGATTGGATTCGATGTCATGTTTGGAGGTTTAGGAGCATTGTTCGCCGTTTTCATCTTTGGATGTATCTATTATGGCAATGCTCGTGATGGTGGTCGTTTATTGTTGATTTGGAACGGTATCTATAATCCAAAAGATTGGGGTGCCTTTGGTGCCTTTGTCATTGCACCATTTGGAGGTATACTCTTAACTATGGCCAGTGCAGGAACCAGAATACTTTATCACTATATTGTGTCTCGCGTAACTGGTAAGCCATTCACTGCTTTAGATAAGCCAGAACGCGAAGAACAAGTCCATGAAGTTGTGGAACAAACTGATGATTATGGCAGCATTGACAAGAAAGCTCACTACGAAATATGAGTTACAAAAATTAATACCTAATAGTTGTACATTATACTACACCTAAACCCCGTTAATAGATTAAAAGTATGTGCATAGTTATGATAGTACGACACACGTCTCCCCTGAAGGAAGGAGATGCCGACGCAACTCCATAATGATAAAGGGGTAGACGGTTCTTATCTATGAAATATCATAGTTGAATATTCTTGGCTCTCAAACGAAGTTTGGTGCCGTTAATACAATATAATCTACAATTAGGATAATCCTATCACTAGCACTATGTTTTAAAGCGCCTTATTTTTTCTAGTTGACCATGTTGTATAGGAGTTAAGCACTCTTCAAGTTCTCCGCTATTTCTTCAAGTTGAAGCCTTTGGTTCTTCCCGTGCACGGCATCTAGAAAAGTTTGGTCTATGACAGTGACATCATTGGCAAGTGGGGAATGATGAGAATTTACTTTTCAGTACTAATGCTTCTAAATTCTCGGTATTACCCCTACAACCGTCAAGGGGCATTTTCTAGCATATTTCCGAAAGAAAGCTCGGCATTCTCCCCGAAGCCTTCGCATCCTCTGTTATATGCAGATAGTCAAAAATTCTTTCATAGGTGTTACCAGATTTCTTTATTGGTGGTTCCAGTAGTTAATAAACGGTATAGAAGCATTTGGATATGTGGTACGTGGGTGTCAGGTAGAGTTGAGCGAAATGAGTGGTCATCCGATACAATTAGAAAATACATGGTACTTTAATGCGATTTCATGTAAAACCGATACTGCATGTAATTGAATTATCGTGCCGTTCGAAGTTAAATAATGTTTGCCTTTTGACGTCAGAAATTCTAGAGTGAACACTTAGTAGCGCCGTTCCATCGCTTCGCAGAAAGTTTTCCAGATGCAGAATACTTTCCATTTAAGATCCGGAGGAATTTTAGTTTGAAAGTAGAAGTTGTTAACCATCCATCCCTCAACATGGCTACATTCCGTCATCATCTGTATGCTTCGCGTAAATATGAATTGGAAAAACTCCAATATAATGATTAATCCGTATTCATCGGAACTTATATTCGCACGTCAAGGAAGGAGAAAAACCGGGGCCCTTAAAAATAAATCCGTACAATATAAAGATCCAGAAAGGAACCATATGTATTGATAAGGTATAGAAAGCCGTATCTTGACTCAAACTTTATTCTCGTTTAGGCGTAGATTTACACAAATTGCTTTTTCTAAGTCACTCTACTTTAAATGCATGCTAAGCTCAGCTCATGGCTGATTATTGTTTCCTTATCATGCAGTTCCCTTTATCTCTTCATCTTCTCTACAATATCCTGGTTTGTTTTGTAGGTAATCAAATGTAAGCTTAATTATCTTGGAACTGAAATTCAGGACCAAAAGCCTTTGTATAAAACTATCATGATTCCTTAAGATTGATTTTTCTTAGTTGATTTTTTTTTGCAACTGATAGCCATTTTGTTTCTTTGTTTCCATCCAACTTTTTTACAAGATGGCTCGTCTGATAAACGAAGAAGAGAAGAAGGTCAATCCTATCTTAGACGTTAAGTCCAACGATCAAGTCGACTTGGAGGCAAATGAAGTTTCTCAAGAATACTCCGACGATAATACTTCTACTCAAGCTGGATGGAAGGCAAAGTTGAAAAGCAAAGTCCCACACTCCAGATTGATTATTCATATATTAATTGGGATGCTCTTCACAGGCTGGTGGTTAGCAATTGTTATTCAGGATAAACAAAGACACAAATGGTTGATTCCAACCGTAATTTACGGGATGATCATGGTCAGATTAATAACATGGCATTGGAAAATCTTACCTGTTATCATGCGGTACGTATTCGCTATCTGGAGTAAAGCAACTGACATTGTGAAAAATAAGCTTCTTAAATCTGATCTTCTTAAGATTAGTGCGGGTGTGGTTGTGGTTGTGGGTGCTATTGCCTTAGGAGTTTTCATTCCATCTGAAACCTCTTACTCAAAGAGAAAGGATAGAGTAGTTTCGTTTGCAGGATTGTTCTTTTTCATATTCCTAATGTTCTTATCTTCCAAACACAAGTCTAAGATTCAATGGAGAACAATCTTAGTTGCTGTATTACTTCAATATATCATTGCTTTGTTTGTGTTGAGAACTAAAGCCGGTTACGACATCTTCAAGTTCATTTCCGATTTGGCTAGACAATTGTTGTCTAGGGCAAAGGATGGTGTGGCCTTCTTAACGAATCTGAAAGTTGCCAACTTGGGTATGTTCTTCTTTGGTGTATTGCCAGCTGTGATTTTCTTTGTGGCCGTTGTTCATATCGTTTCTTATTATGGTGCCATTCAATGGGCTATCATTAAGTTTGCCAAATTCTTCTTCTGGGCTTTAGGAATTTCTGGTGCTGAATCAATTACTACAGCTGCATCTCCTTTCATTGGTATGGGTGAATCTGCTATTTTGATTAAAGATTTCTTACCATACTTGACAAAGGCTGAATTACATCAAATCATGACTGCTGGGTTCGCTACCATTTCCGGTTCCGTCTTGGTTGGTTACATTGGTTTGGGTTTGAATGCACAAGCTTTAGTTTCTTCTTGTGTCATGTCTATCCCTGCTTCCGTTTGTACTTCAAAGTTAAGGTATCCTGAAACAGAGGAGCCTTTAACCGCTAAAACCGTCGAGTTCCCACCTAAAGATGAAAATGAAGAAGTGTCAGAAAATGTTTTGCAAGAATTTTCTAAAGGTGCTACCTTAGGTTTGGAAATTGCAAAGTCTATGATGACCCAATGTTTGTGTATTATTGGTTTGGTCTACTTGATCAATGCTATTTTGACTTGGTGGGGTAGCTTTTTGAACATTCCAAGTTTGACATTGGAATTGTTATTCTCTTACTTGTTTTACCCATTAACATTCTTTTTGGGTCCTCCAAGGGAAGAAATTTGGAAGATCTCCAAGTTAATTGCGACTAAGTTTGTTCAAAATGAGTATGTTGCTTACAGTATGTTGAAGTCTGATGACAGATATGCTAATTTATCTGACAGAGGTGTTTTGATTGCCACTTATGCTTTATGTGGGTTTGCAAATTTCGGTTCGGTTGGTATCACTTTGGGTGTATTCAACACTTTAACGAAGGGTAAGAGAACAAAAGATGTTGCTGAAAATTGCATTTCCGCATTACTTACTGGCTTTATGGCCACAATGATGTCTGCGTGCATTGCTGGGATGGTTGCTCATGATTTGAGTATGTTCAGCAAGAATTAAGAGAGGATGTTTATGATATTTTTTTTATTGTACTATTAGAATTTTAACTTCATATCGTGTCCCACTTCAGGGACTTACCTAGTATCATTTTATTAGCAGATGTTTCATCTCTAGCAGCTAAATTATGCGCAACCTATCAGGTACCTTACCAATCGGAACCCATGGTGAATTTCAAGAATTTTCAGGATTTGTGTTTTCAAACTCAAAGTTTGCACTTATAGGAGAAAACCTGAATCAAGCCCTCTGTTTCTGCATCGTTAGCCCCATTGGAACTCTAACGCTAGTTTTTGAAAGCGAAAGAAGTTTATAGCATTGCATATGTGCAAAAGCGGATGCTTGTTGAAAATAATACCTCAAGACAAAAAGATTCGAAAATGCACAAATAGATGAGGCATGTACTGCAGTTTCTTGATCTTCTTTTTGTTTGAGTAAGTCTCTTGGTTTTCAAAGTGTCTGTCTATTTGTGTCTTATGTTAAGCCCAGCTCATGGTTTATTTTTATGATATGTGTTTCCTTCTCGTATATAAACTCTAGGTGTATATGACAGTTTAAAGAACGGTAAGAGATCTGAAGGCATACCTGAAACGTCATTATCTCCGCACTACAAACATGATTCATTACCACGAAGTCTATTTTTGTTTCCAGTATGGTTGCTCATGATTTGACTTTCTTCCAAAAGCGTTCAAGGAAGAAATGAGTGTGACCCTTTTTCATTGTATACTTCCTAAACATTTGTATTATCTTATCAGTGTTGCTTATTGTTTATGTGTTCGAAGGAAAATCATGTGGACAATTATAGCCCTGTACCCCTTTTGGATCATAACCTGCGAGGGGGGGACCAGGACACCAGCTTTTAGAATAAATTATACAATCTCGTAGCCAGTTTGCGTTTCCCCTCCATATCCCTACCAGATTGCGGACTTCTTATTTTAGTGTAGTATATTTTTATCTTCCCCACATTTCGGTAGCTCCATCCACATGTGATATCTTTAATATTTAAGGTTTGCAACATAACGGTTCCTCTCACACTAGGCAATTGAATTACACCATCTTTTACTATGATTTGGATTATTATAGGTGCCTTTTTTGCCTACTGGTTCGCATACCAGATTAAGCATTATCTTCTTGCAAGATCTTGGAATTGCAAACAAGTTTACAATAAGAAAGTGGGCCCCTTTGGGATTTCTTTCTTCTTCAGGCTCCAGAAGCAAAAGAAGCTTGGTGATCTGATGAGATTCCTTTCCCAATTGTTTGAAGATGGAAAAGATACATTAAGGCTCAGGATATTATTCAATAAGCTATATATGACTAAAGATCCGGAGAACATCAAAGCTATGTTGAGTACTCAGTTTAATGATTTTATTTTAGGTCGTCATGAAATGGTTGAACCATTACTTGGTGATGGGATTTTCAGTTTAGATGGTGAAGGCTGGAAGCATTCGAGAACAATATTGAGACCTCAATTTGCCAGGGAGCAAGTTGGTCACGTAGAAATGTTGGAGCCTCATTTTCAAATGATGAAGAGGCACATTCTTAAGCACTCTGATGGTTCGCCGTTTGATATTCAAGATTTATTCTTCAAGTTTACCATTGACAGTGCTACAGAGTTTTTGTTTGGCGGCACTTGTGGCTCTCTCCGTGATGAATCAATAGCGGAATCAGGAGGGGAACAAATTGTCAATGGAACTGATTTTGCAAAATGCTTCAATGCAAGTCAGTTATATACTAACACCAGAATATTAATGCAATGGATGTGTATCTTCTGGAATAGTAAAGAATACAAAAGATGTAATGAAGTTGTTCACAAGTTTGCGGATCATTATGTGGACAAGGTCTTAAAAATGGATCCTGACGAACTTGATAAAAATTCATCATCTAAGTATGTCTTTTTGTATGAGTTAGCAAAGCAAACCAGAGATCCTAAAATGCTAAGGGACCAGAGTATTAATATTTTGCTTGCAGGAAGAGATACCACAGCGGGGTTGTTATCTTTTGTATTTTATGAATTAGCAAAGAAACCTCACATATGGTCTAAGCTAAGGAAGGAAATTGTCGATAATTTTGGATGTGATACTAATGATACTTCGAATGTTTCTGCATTATCTTTTGAAAGTTTGAAAAAATGTGAATATTTGAAGGCAGTAATCAATGAAACTCTTCGTTTGTATCCATCTGTTCCAAAGAATTTTAGGGTCCCAATTCGTGACACGACCCTACCAAGAGGTGGTGGAGAAGATGAATCTTCACCAATATTTTTACCAAAGGGATCAATGGTGGCCTACAATGTTTATTCTATGCATAGAAACAAAGACGTTTATGGTGAAAATGCGGAAGATTTTGTCCCTGAAAGATGGTTTGATTCAAATGTAAAGAACATAGGATGGAATTACTTACCTTTCAATGGTGGTCCTAGAATTTGTTTGGGTCAGCAATTTGCTTTAACTGAAGCAAGTTATGTTATTGCGAGATTATGTATGACATTCTCAAAACTTAGAAGTTTTGAGGATCACTACCCTCCGGTTACAATGCACCACTTGACAATGTTCGTGAAGGATCACAATAATGTCAGTCTTGAGGTATAAAACTTGAATTTGAGAACACAGGATTCTTCTAAAGAAGATTAGACATTTCAACAGAGCATATTGGGCGAAGTGGCCGTTAACTCAAAGTGAAACTTTTAAAATACTGTATGACATAACTGCTTCTGGTAAGTTGTTCTATAGAGAAATGTTTAACGCTTTACCACAGTTATATATTTCCTTTGTAACAAAAGTGCCGAATAATTTTACGACTTATCTCAGTTTCTTCGATTATTTCACCTTAGCAAATCTTGTTTCCATATTTTCAAATCAGTGTCCTCGAAAATTTTTATAAAACACAGTAATCTCTCTCTTATAAAAGCTTGTTCAAGAAAGGCAACAATTTTAAATAAAAGCTCCAGTAAAGGATTCTGCTGATGTCATATCTTCAATCTGAGGTAGTTTTTAGTTGCATTTTGCCGTAGTATATTCTATTACAGTGCTCTGTATGTTCGAACTATTTGTGGAAGTAAATCACTAGATAAACAGATTACCCTCAACGTAACCTTGTGGTAAATGACAAACCTCACAAACCCAACATTTTTCTGTAGCCTTGATTAGAAATATTTACACCGTGATCTATGGTTACCATGAATCCATTATAACCAAGGATAGCTATTTGCATGGTTTTCGAATGTTATCAATGTTCATGACGTCATTTTGATGCTGTTCCTTACGATGCCAAGTTTGAGATTGCGAAATTTTGCAGCCACATTCCGCACACATTGAAACGAAAGTTTTCCTATAAGGCATAATAGAAGTGAGATCCTTTAAATTCAAATGAATATTATAAATACTACGACAATGTAGTTGTTAAGGTTGCCTGAAAAAATTCTGTTCGCACCTTAGCGTCAAAGAAAGAACAGAGTTGCCTTCTGTATGCTTTATCTCTTGGTTCATATCAGATTGCAACCATCAAAAAGTTATAGCATTGTAGAAAACTAGAAGCAAACAATAAGATTATATTACAATTGATTGTTTGCAGTACTTCAAAGATTCTTGATTGCGATGCTCATCGTTGTAAAAAGTATATCGCAATCGTATTTCAAATTAAAACTAATATTATATCATATTATACTAGCGTAACAATGGTACGCTGTTTTTAGAGTAACGCCTTTAGGTATGGATGGGAGGGGAAGAATGAATGGTTACATTGGAAGGGGTCATAGATAGTGAACGATGTAGATATATAGTGACTTTGAAGTATTGAGGATTGTCCTTGATTTTAGCGATTAATGGTAGGAAATATGAGAATTAAGGATTAGGAGTGTTCGAGAACTAGCTTATCACCTTATTTTTGTGGGTTTTTTTTTAATTTGTTAGAAATCTACTCCTCTAACTGGAAGGTTTTGAAAATTCATGAAATCAAATCATCAACATTTTGATAGAGTTAAGTATTTAGACGCCATTTCTTTTGTATTGCATTTTGCAGCCACAGAAGGACTTTACTATGCTTTTTCTGGATCCAAATATACTGAAATAGGATTTTGTTCAAATTTTCCAACTATGATTACGACTTACAAGGTGTAAGTGGACGCTCATATGGGTATAAATAGAATAAATGTCCAAGGTAATATAGTTTTTTGTTTCCTTTGTGCAAGCTCTCTATAACCAAACATTTCTGGTAGGAAAGGTCGAATTAATAAGTGGAATTCCACAAATAGAGCCCTTTTCTCAGAAGATCTGCCAAATGCTGCATACCTTGTTGGTGAAAACGACACATTAAACGAAGAACTCTTAATAGACTTTCGCTCACTCATATACAAGCTATAAATCATATATACAACATTAGCAACTGAGTTAGACTTTACTCCTTAGTTTATATTTTTGCGAAGATGTTCAAAGTGTATTAAAATTTGACTAGATTTTTGAAATGATGGAGCATATGGTATGTCGGTTCATATTCTACATGAATTAAGTTCAAAGTTTTAAAATTCATTCTGAGCTTTTCTCAAACAGCTAGAACCAAAAAGAAGATTGGTAAGAGAGAATAGTCAGGAGGTATAGATTAAACGAAATCCAAACCTTCCAATTGAAGAAACACGATGGATACTAATAATTTTGATAATTTTGAAAAGTTTGCCATAACATTTTACAAATTTTTTATTGTACAACCCCGAATAAAGCCATTATGTCCTGAAATTTAATTTCACAAGTCAAGCAATTTTGTAGTCAAGCTTCACTCTCCAAATTTATTGAGAATTGTCCATGCATAAAATAAGAATAATAATTTGTGTATCTCTTCTGGGGCGTTATTTATTCAAATTTGATCACTCAAGAATTACTGTAAAATATAGCTTATGACTTTGTTCATTTGAAGCTCTGTGCGCAAACAAATAATGCAAAAGTCATTTTGTTCAATAGTGAGATGGAAGATCTTGTTAGATGAGCTAAAAAACTAGCAAAGGTCTCTCCAAGGATAAGGCTATCCTATTAGGGATCATATCTAATACTTTTCGCATTTGTTCCCACAGGTCGACTCCTGAGTAAGCAATTATACATTTGAAATCAAAAATGCACTAAGATGGCCAAAATGGATCAAAATGCGACTTTTGGCGACCATCTTATAAGTGTTCGTAATGGAGTAGAGAAGTGAAATCAGAGTGCTTTAGGTATATAAAATCACTTGCTTTTTAACTGGAGCCTAATAGCTGTAACAAAGATGAAAATTATTAATTCTTTAGTTGCTTAGAAGTTGATTTACCCGAGCATAAGATACGAGGTAAAGATTAAACGAATCACTTTCTAGAAGCTCTGGAAGATCTGCAAACTTTATGCGCCGCATTCCTCTTTTCGAATAAGCTATTCCCTTGACCTAGAAAAGTCCTTGTGGTTCACTTCTTTTAATAAATTGCATAGTAATTGTACACCTTTTGAACAGCGACGTTTTCATCATTGATGGCAACCTTTTTTTAACCTCACTACGTGTTAGTAGTTTTCAACCACATTTCACATGTACCTTATTATTTTTCTTAGGAATTTCCATTCAGTTTAACACATGTGTTCTAAATCTGGCCAACTATTATATTATTTCTGAGGCAACAAAGGTAACCAAAGCCAATAGAATCTCAAGTCTTTTGTCTTTTAGCTTGGTCAAAGTTTTGAGGCAAAGGAAGGAATTGAGATCATAAAAGGAAACTAGATGCGACTTATCTTGTTTGTTAAACGGACTGAATTTTTGTATTCATTCTTCACACAAAATATTTAAAGCAATATTGGTCAAATTCCTGCAAGTATACCCAATTATACAACTCAAATAGTCGAGTATATTTTAGTTAAACGTCAACGTCTTTTGTCTCTTAGATTTTATAAGTTTTGAATTCTTGGGTTACCTGTAACTCTTAGTTGAACTAAACTTATGTAGATATCCATTTAACCAATTGGGTTCTTTTCCAAGAATTCTACCTGCTTACGCAAAAAAACACATATGTCACCCTTAAACTTATCCAAGTATGGGAAGCGAAATTTTTGCCGGCAAACAATCCGTTCCATAGTCAGCCATTGATGTAATTCAAAATCAAAACTTTCGCCCTTTGTATTTTTCGCTTTGTGATTTCCATAGAGTCTATACCGCATATGATTCTCGTCCTTATCAAATATATCTTCCTTTGACGTTAAATCAATTGGATCAAGCTTGGGGAAATTGCAATGCAAAGTCCAAGGACTACCGCTCTTTTCTCCAAAATGCTTTTTTCAATCTCCTTCAATTGTTCTATCTGCTCCGGAATCAGTAGTTTCCCCATTTCTCCAGATTTTATCGGACCAGAAATATAGGTTTGGAAAGCCTCGTAATCTTGTAATGGATCCTTCTGAATCATTCCAACACCCTGAAATTTACCCTTTGCTTCGCTGTATCCCAAAGTCGCAACAGGTGTATAAACTTGGTAGTATTTTTTACCCAATACTGAAGCAGCCGCTGTAAATGTTTCTTTGTCACCTTCTCCTTGAGCTCCTAAACTAAATAATCGATAGTATAATTTTGGGCCATGAATATTGTAATACATCAGCAATAAAATAGTATGCCAATGGATATCTTTATTAACAAATAATTGGCCTGATTCAGTGGATAAATTGGGGATAGCACCATCAAATTCAGCATAAGGAATATTTTCTATTTCATCAGGGTTAACATTTGCTTCTGTTTCGGTATTATGATCTAGTGCTAATGGGAATCTCAGAAATCTAACGCGTTTGTTCTCATCAACCTTGAGCAGAGCAATTTTATAAAACTCGGGAGAAATTGTTCTCTTCCAATAATCTGGCCAAGTTATAAGACCATACTTTTTGAATAGCTCAGAACTAAAAATAGATTCAGGATTTCGAACCATCATATTATCAGAATCTAACATTAATACATTTTGGAATGACGTCACCAAGAGAGCCAAACCCTTGTATTGATATGAGTGAAATTCATTTTTCATCATCACCAGAGGTCCCAACACTTCCAGAACCACAACACATTTTGCATTGTGGTGAGGCAAAATTGTATAGCAAAATTCCATCTCTTTTTCATAGTCGGAGTATTTTGGAATAATCACCTCAACTGGTAAGGTACACCCAGTTTCTCGAAGGGATAAAAGTGAAAGATAACTTAGCCAGGAATACCTTCCACCACCAATCATCACCACACCTGTGGTTCCTTTCTTGTAACCATATGTTGGTTTAATTTGGAGTAAATCATCCACAAATGCTTTATGCTTATTATGTAGCTCGTCAATGGTTGATGGCGAGATATCAGCCCTGGAAAGTAATTCGCTTTTTGATTGACCTTTAGTCTTCTTCCCAGTATACTTTATAGCTTCATCAACATTATCAAATCGAGGTCCATAGACATACATCAGACCAAATACCCGCGACCATAGTAAATGAAAAGAAGGCTTATCTTTAAAGAAAGGCACATCATTTAGCAATAAAGAATCTTCAGTACTGGTATCGAATTGCATACTATCCACTAAGGAAAGAGGTAAAGTGTAGTCATTGTAATGAAGTATTCCTACCAATCCAATAAATAAGAATGCTGTGGCAGCAGCAATGACTTTCACCCTCTTCAGTGTTAACAAAATCATCTCCACAATGATTGGGATCTCGTCATTTATATTTGTGATCTTTGTATCCTATATCTTCGTTCTCAACCCTTGAAAACTTTAATCATACTCTCGTTCGCAAAATTGGCGTGTACGCCTCACTATGCTTCAATTCTATAGATTTTCTGTGGCTATTCAACTATTTTTAAGAAAAGTTGAACCAAACATGTCTCTACCTATAAAATCTTTCTAAATGTGATCGTTCCAATTTATGATTTTATCAATGGGTGTTCTTGATTGCTTTTAGCCTTTCTTGGGTTTGTTTTAGGGTTTCGGTGTGCGGGGCTCTTGTGTTTTAGGGTTTCGGTGTGCGGGGCTCTTGTGTTTTAGGGTTTCGGTGTGCGGGGCTCTTGTGTTTTAGGGTTTCGGTGTGCGGGGCTCTTGTGTTTTAGGGTTTCGGTGTGCGGGGCTCTTGTGT